TCATCCTGCAACTGGAGCGAACGTTTCACGAAGTCGCTGTACAGAGCCCCATGGTCTACATCATCCATCTTCGCAGGGGAGATTGACGCCGCCGCCAAGGAAGTCACGAAGGACTCCAGGGAGGTCTTAATGATCAAGTCCATCGATACACTAGCCAGTGTCATCAGGCAGACGTCCCAGCGCTACTCGGGCAAGTCCAAGTTTGCAGGCATCCAGAAAGCAAGAGAGAAGAAAATGGTGACCTCCAGAGGAGGAAAGGACTCTTTTCGTCGCCCAGCCGGCAACTATAGAGGACGATCCGGACGAGGCAGGGCACCCAGAGGTGCCAGAGGCTATAGACGTTGAAGGACGGGGTTCGGAACGACTGGAGTCTTCCACCCCCAGCCGTTCCTGTACAACCTTCACAAGTGGGTGGACGTCTACAAAGCTACTGGGAGAACTGGGGAATTCTTCAAGATCCATTTGTATCCAACATCCTAAGAGACGGATATCGCATACAACTACAAGCAGCTCCGCCATTAACAGACAAACCTCAGAAGTTCGACTTTACAACCCATCGGACAGAGAGGCTACGAGAAGCAGTCACATCTCTACTAGAGAAGGACGCCATAGAAGTGGTGGACCAGGACCAGATCTCACCAGGATTCTACTCCCCAGTTTTCCTAGTACCAAAGAAAAACTCCAAAGAAAAGTTCCGACTAATCTACAACATGAGGGCATTCAACAGAGATTATCTACGCAAACCACCAAGGTTCAGCATGATTCATCTACCACAACTACTACATCTCGTCCGTCCGATGGACCACATGGCCAGCATAGATCTACAGGACGCATACCTGCATATTCCTATACATCCGGACTCAAGGAAGTACCTGAGGTTTATACTGGACGGACGACACTACCAATGGAAGGTCCTGCCATTTGGAATATCATCGGCCCCCTGGTTGTTTACAAGAGTGACGAAGCCCATAGTCACATACCTACATCATCGAGGTCTACGCAGTGCGTTCTACCTAGACGACGGGATTCAAGTTCATCAAGATCCCAATCATCTCAGACTACAGCTGGACTTCACCATCAGACTGCTCACACAACTGGGGTGGCTAGTGAATCTCTTAAAGTCGGACCTAGAACCTACACAGGACCTGCAGTTCCTAGGAATCCGGTTCATCACAACAGAAAACCGCATAGCAGTACCAGAGGACCGATGGCTAAAGATACAACAGACGATATCGCAAGCTCTACTCTCTCCGTGGCCACTACGACAGTGGCAGAGTCTCTTGGGTCTCCTCACGTCAGCACAAGACATGACACGCAGAGGGAGACTACAACTACGCCCACTACAGGTCTTCGTGAATGCTCATCTGGACGACCTGGACCCCTTCGGACTCCCGGACGGACTAAAACCATATCTACTATGGTGGACCCAGAGATCGAATGTTTGCGGAGGCACCTATTTAGCAGAGCTGGAGTGCAAGACGCATCTCTACGCGGACGCATCTCTCCCAAGGATGGGGAGCACACCTCGACAACGAAGTGTCAGCTGGGACATGGACCATAGAGGAGAAAGATCTGCACATCAACATGCTGGAAATGAAAGCAGTGATAAACGCCATACTCCACTGGACCAGCATTCTGGAGAATGCTCATCTGACAGTACATACGGACAACTCCACAGTGGCGTTCTACATAAACAGACAAGGATCAACAAGGTCGGCGAACCTTCTGGACCTCTGCTTTCAACTGTTCAGCATAACAGACAACCTGAACATCCACATAAGAGCATGCCACATTCCAGGAGCCAAGAATGTGATAGCAGACGCACTATCCCGTCCAACGCAGCCATCCCCAACAGAATGGATGCTACATCCAGAGATCTTCAAGCAGATCATACAAGAGATGGGAGCGCCACTAATAGACCTATTTGCCACAAGATTCAACAATCAACTCATAACATTCGTCTCACCAATACCAGATCCACGAGCATGGGCAATGGGCGCTCTAAGCATCTCCTGGGAAGGACTAAACGCTTACGCGTTTCCACCACCAGCTCTAATACCGAGGGTGTTGCAGAAAATCAGTCAGACGAAGATCCTACAACTGATTTTGGTCGCGCCTTACTGGCCAGCGAGAATATGGTTCCCCATTCTCATACAAGAACTAGGACAGCCTCAACTGCAACTACCAGAGTGGTCGAATCTGCTAGTACATCCTCACACAAAGCAAGCACACGGCAACCCAGAGGTGTTCCGGCTACACGTGTGGACTGTATCAAGGCGTGCTTGAACAAGAGAGGATATTCCGCCAGGGCAGCGAAAGCAGTCACACTAGCTCTACGCAAGTCTACACGCAACTTGTACGACGACAAGTGGCGACGATTCGAGACATACGCTTTGAAGAACGGCTTCACAGCCATAAAAGCGACACACCCTCAAGTGGCGGACTACCTTTGTCACCTAAGACAAACGAAGCGGTTAAAAGGGTCAACACTCTCAACATACCTAGCGGCATTGAGCTCAGTTATCACCATGAGGACGAGTGCAAAACTGACGAAAGTACCAGAGTTACTGGCCTTGCTACGCTCTTTTAAACTGGAGGACCAACAACAGAGATTTAAAGCTCCGGCGTGGGACCTCAACGTAGTTCTACGACATCTCACCAGTGACGTTTACGAACCATTAGATAAGACATCTTTTGAGTTCTTGACGCAGAAGACGCTGTTCCTGATCGCCTTAGCAACAGCAGCAAGGATGTCGGAAATACATGCTCTGGACTTTGAGAGAACACGGTTTGATGAAAATCAAAACATCGTGCATATGGGACTGAGATGGGACTTCATAGCAAAGAATCAACTGCCAGGTCAACCGGACAGACAGTTCCACATCCCAGCACTATCATCAGTCCTTGGACCACAGGATACGCACGACCTATCCTTATGCCCAGTGAGAGCATTGAAAGTCTACCTACAAAGATCTAAGACCAGGAGACGAAAATTCAAGCGTCTTTCGTCCCGATATCGACAGCGACACAGACGGAGGTCTCCCGCACTACGATATCTATCTGGATCAGAACTGTCATACTACGGGCCTACAAAGCAGCAGGACTTGATCCTCCAAGAGCCTCCAACCCACATGAAGTTAGAGCTCTGGCGTCAACACTCGCTCTACATGGGAATTGCTCTATCAGGACGATAATGGAGGGCTGCTTCTGGAAATCGGACATGGTGTTTGCCAACCATTACCTGAGGGACATCGCCACCGAGGACGTCTCCGGCATTCACCATTTCGGCCCACTTGTTGTTGCACAACAATTGACAGTCCCTCAAAGGCGCTGAGACGGAGTCTCGCCCTTTTTATCACATGACTTGCAAAAGCCTACACTCAGGAGAGTTCAGCTTATAGTCTATATGCACGTCTAAGACAGACTAGCATAAGTGATATGACCCAGTACTTGTAAGGATACTCGTACAGGAAAGGGTCGCTTCTCCACTTGATGCTCGCATCAAGAGATGGAGTTGCAAAATCCACATAAAATGTTAACAGAAGCAAGGACCAAAAGTTAACAATTGTGGTCTCCCCATCAGAGAAAGCTGGAAGTAAAGGGTTACAGCAGCAGCAGAGCATAGCAGTAAAATAGAAGTTCCCATAGGGGGGTATGCAAGATGTAAATCACTACATGGAATCCAGAAGTGGCTTGACCCACCACCAAATCCGACGGATTCTACAAGCAAAAAAATACATGAGTCAGGATAAGGAAAAATATGTAATTTTCTGAATAAAATTGATATTTTATACTTATCCTGACTCATGAGGTAAGCCCTCCCAACCTCCCCCGGACACTTTTGCAAAATTAAAGTGTCGGGCTATTAATTCGGAGAGAGTGAAGCGTGGGAAGACGGGTGGCGCCGTTTTCCAGAAAATTACGATTATTACTCGTGGTGAGTAGTGATTTTCATCTGTTTCATTGAAGGAGCTTCGAAGAAGGAGATACAATGTTCCACTAACGTTCGGGAAGGTAACAAAATACATGATTATGAAAATACTATACAAAACATCAATGCCCAAAAGAATACCCAATTGTGACTATCCTCATAAACAGATTCCATGTTGGTGTGAAAGACAGAAATCTGTGAAAATCATACAATGAACCACTGAACATAGTGATGACACCAGGTGTTAGCGAAATGGGTCAGCATATCCCGGCCTAAAGCTACTGGCAGCACCTCCTAACCCACTCAGTTTGCCTACGAAATGTAAGTATTTACAGCCTGACGTCACACAGCAGTGTTCCTGCCATGCGGCGAAGGTTGTAAACAAATAGTCAATCAAGTGATCGATGAATCCGATATTCCATTTGCTAATACGACTACTGCGAAGGAGTTAAGATTTTCCACTGCTTAGAAGAAAAGAAATAGACATGTTTTGGAATGAGAATTGTTTTACAACACAGTGTTGTAATGTCTCGAACCAAACATTTCTCGTCTGAGCATAGACAAATGCTACTGAGCTTCATTTTGAAAATGTGATATTAATGTAGTTAAAATGACAAATAGCAGTCACAAATTCATTTGAGTTATCATATGAAATCACAGTAAATGTAATGTCCACTGAACGATTTAGCTATAGCCAACTTTAAAACATTTTCCACCCATGAAGATCTGGATTAGAATTGGTCTTCAGGCTTGTCTTGAGAGGCGACTAACGGGATCGGATGGTAAGCGAAGCTGACATGGTTGGCACATGTCATCGGTTCCCAATTGCGTAGATCGATGCGCATGCTGTTGATCACTGAATTGTCTGGATCAGAATCGATTATTGATAGACCGTCGCCATATAGCTGGAATATTGCTGAGTGTCATGTGATACAACAAACAAACATAAACATTTCCATGAATCGCTATCAAAATAGAAATGACAAGCGAGCGTATCCTTGACCCATGACATGTAATTTTGAAGCTTCTAAATCCAGAGGTTGTACACTATATCTTCTCCTCCTGCTAGGACTAATTCTCGGTCAGGAATCAGACAGAACGTTGCTCTCCGGGACAAAACCCGGTACTCCCTGCAGTCCTATGTGAAGCAGCTAACCAACCCGACTGGGAAACTGTACCAGCATTACATGATACAACTGGACGTGACCCGAAACAATGGTAGGTGTTTGTATAACCCAGCCATGATCTCATGATCTGTAGAGTAGGTAAAAGGAAGTAGTATATCTAACCCCACTAAGAGAGAGAACGAAAAAAAGAGAAAGAGATAGATAGATAGATACTTTATATATAGATATATAGATAGATAGATAGATAGATAGATAGATAGATAAGCCAGTCTGATCAGCGTGTAATATCTTTCATAGCTACTGTTATGGTAGACTAACAACTAGTCTCTGAAATGAACATATTTTACTGAAAAAATTTCATAATAAAACAACAAAAAATATAATGAAAAGGAGCCCTGAGCCTTTCTTCATTCCTGAAGCTGAGGAAATCTAGACTTGCCACATTTTCTAGACTTGCGTTGGCTTTCTTGGATATATTTGCTTCAGGGTCTGTACGACAGACTACTGTTATCGAAATTACATTAGATTTTAAATGATTAAAATTCTGAAGTTGTCCAATCTTTGTAGGATCTACTGAATATATACGGACGGCCTTTCGTTCGGTCACATCACATGACGGATGGGTTCAACTGCGTAGTGACTTTGTATTCTATAACGAAGGTAAAACAACTCACTTACTTTCATCTTCCTGTACAATTTACACTGCATCAGATCAAGGGAAGCAATTTGGAAGGTGACTGGAGAGGAAATGTTCCCAGAACTAACAGATGGCATTTTCCATTCTGGTAGAGTAATGGATGGGTTGCCGTACAACAATCAATTTCCTCACCTAAATGATAAAAGACAAAATATGTAATCGAGTATTAATCCAGAGTAGGCACTTCCGAGCTGAAGCATAACTTATCTAAAAGACGAACTAAACCAGGCAGATACGAACTGAGAATGATAAAGACCTTGCTATGTTGTGTACATTTTACATCTTGGTACAGTTGTTTAAGCCGAATTGTATATGTAGGCTGATATCTTATTGGTTAAAATACTAGGCCATCCTATGTTTTGTTAGCAGTTAATTCCGCGCATATTACGCGATTGACTATGTTACAGGTTACAGGAGAGTGAGTCTGAGGTTGAATAATCCAGATGCAGGCGTTGACTTCCTGGTTGATCACATGTCACTCACGGAAATACCCGAGGACAAAGATTGGAAATCAAAGGCGGACAAGAGGATAGACCAGCTCAGGAAGAACAATATCCATTTTAAGTAATATAATATAATATAATTCTGTGGTTGAGGTTTACATGATTAAACACAATGAAGAAAGTACTTTAGTTATAAAAATCGGTTATGCGTTATGCATGCTGTTTTAGGCCACACTCGACGTCGCACTCCGAAACATTCCAGCAGTACGATGGCGTTCTTGAAATAATCGGATCAGACACAATATGATGCCTAATAAATACTGTGACTAAGTAGTGGTCCTTGAATATAAGACCCGTGAAGATCCGGGTTAGAATTGATCTTCAGTAACCAATGCTTGTCGTAAGAGGCGACTAACGGGATCGGGTGGCCAGGCTACCTGACTTGGTTGACACTTGCCTAGATCGAGGCTCATGCTGTTGATCACTGGATTGTCTGGTCCAGACTGGATTATTTACAGACCGCCGCCATATAGCTGGAATATTGCTGGGTGCAGCGTTAAACAACAAACAACGTATTTGAATCTGTCGCCCCTGATGTCGTCGACTGCCTTGATGACTCCTCGTTATTATTTGTTCCGCAGCATCCAAGTCCCGCCCCACGTGTCCTATGCGGATCTTGTGATTCAGGTATGTTGTCTCATAGCATTGACCTTGAACATAGAGTTATGACCAGAAAAAACAGCCTTGAAGACATATCAGAGCGCATTTTTTGCTTATGTTCCAGCCTGTGAACTTCGCTCACAGCACCAGAATCTACTGACAGTACCATACCACAAGCTAAAACCTTTTGGTCACAGATCATTTTCGTACACTGTCCCGGTCTGGTAGAACTCACCGACCCTTGACATTGAAGTCTATGAAAATCTGAAAACCTTTAAAACAAAACTCAAGTGAGTGAGTGAGTGAGTTTGGTTTTACGCCGCTTTTAGCAATATCCCAGCAATATCACGGCGGGGACACCAGAAATGGGCTTCACACATTGTACCCATGTGGGGAATCGAACCCTGGTCTTCGGCGTGACGAGCGAACGCTTTAACCATTAGGCTACCCCACCGCCCCAAAACTCAAGAGTCCTCTCTTTACACTGTTCTATGAATCACAGGCATACGTCTTACTGTTTACTTTCCAAATGTATAGGAGCAATATTTTATAGATAGACAACTTCTTAATTGCAATAGTTGCGACGTTCCGGTGTAGATGGTAACACCGTTATGAAGCAAGTGATAGCATCTACACAGAAACGTCGCATCTATTACAATAGAGATGTTGTCTCTCCATAACACAATTGTTCCTTTTCATCGTACCAGCTTCTAAATGCCACTCAAAGAAGTTTTACCAATGTTTCTATTTGTTTTTTAGATCTAGCGCCTATTGTTCCTGATAATATTACACTAGTGCTCAAAAGAAAGTACACAGTGTGTTTGATCAAACTTGAAAAGAAAAGAAAAGCATATATAAATAAACGTCTGTTTAATTTCAAGAGTATTCCATTCTAAAGCAAATGTTCACAATTTCATTTCATACAAAGACACTGAAAGACACGTGGTATCATAAACTGAACCTTTACACAAATCAGCAGGCGTTTTTTTTGTGCAAAATGTCACCAAATATTGAATCAATAGTGAGTGTGACCACAATCGGCTTCAATACACGCCAAAACACGTCGACGCATTGATGACGTAAGACGACAAATGACGTTAGGCGTGATCCGTTGCCACTCCTGTTGGAGACATTATTCCAGTTGTTGAGCGGTGCACGTGACAGGTGGCGCTGGTAGTCTTCTGATCTGTCGATCCAGATAGTCCCGTAAGTGTTCTGTTTGATTCATGTCGGTTGCCATGAATAATCACAAGTCAAGTTTGAGCTCGCCGCAGATCCATCTCCACACCATCACGCTACCGACCCAAACGGTCGGACTTGCTGAACGCAATTCGGCGCTAAACGTTCACCTACTCGTCTGTAAACACGAGCTCGGCCGTCATTACTGTATCGGTGAACATCACACGTCGCCAATCACGCATCTGCCAACGTCGAACTCGCCTGATCCATGTCAGTAGGGTCGACGTGCTCGAATACAATGTTCTCTTACTCGCTGGTACACTGTATGTCCTAGTGCCTTCGCTGCCGTTGACGTTGCCGTTACAAAATGAGTTCTCAGATGAATTGTCCAGATGTGGCGATCATCACCGAGCGTTGGTCACACGTTGTCGACCACTCCAAGGCCTGTCTGACTTATTGCCTGTTTGTCTAAGTCGTTGCATCAGTCTGATGAAATTTTCTCGGGGGCAACCGAAGGTTCTGGCAAAGACGGTGTGGTTAGCTCTTTGTTGGAGACATTCCGACAACTCTCACTCTTTCGAATTTTCTTACTACTCTGTAGCCTACGTGTCGCGTAGGACGTTTCACACCGTCAGTATGCGCGTGCATTTCGTGTTACATCAAAGTCGTTTTGGATTTTTTTGCGCCGTTTAGGTGATTCGTTAACTTATTTCGCCGTTTGGTCCAGGAAAGGATTGGTCTGTACGTGTGTGACATGGCTTTTATCACTTCATGTCTATTTTTGTAAATTTTTATGAAATATTTTGCAGTGTATAGTTTCTTTTGAGCATTAGTTTATTAATACAATGACTTGGAGATCCGACGAAGAATATTCCTACTATATAAGGACTTTGTCGCTTATGTTCAATACATATGCCAGATTATTTCGATAGACTCAGATGTACTTAAGAAACATTCATTTCACTGCTTTTTTGCGGTGAATGTACTCTACTGGGCATTTGTGGTGGATCTCAGTTCATACGTGATCAGTTGTTTCGCATATGTGTTTCTACTTGTAAAACCTTTCACAAAACCCAGTGTATTGAGATTCCAACGTTAGCTACAAGAATCATTCACACTTAGTGTATATATTAAATCCATGACTACTTGTCTTACATGAGTCAAGGTGGATCTCGTGAAACATGGCTTCTCTTTCGGGTCCCAAACGAACACGAAGACACTGTCTCTCGACCCACACTACGCTGATCTGTTCTACTACCTGTTCAACTTCGCCACGGTCAACGACTACTACTGGCACACTGACCCCAAGCCGCTGGTAGGAACTTCCAGTAACATCTTCTCAATGGAATCTTAGGTTCGCAGACCCGTGAAGATCTGGTTAGAATTGGTCTTCAGTTACCCATGCTTGTCGTAGGAGGCGACTAACGGGATCGGGTGGTCAGGCTCGCTGACTCGGTTGACACGTCATCGGTTCCCAATTGCGCAGATCGATGCTCATATGCTGTTGATCACTGGAGTTTCTGGCCCAGACTTGATTATTAACAGACCGCCACCATACAGCTGGAATATTGCTGGGAGGGCGTTAAACAACAACCAAACCAAGGTTCGCAACGATTATGAGTGTGGGTTTGCCAGCACCCTAGCCTTGCTGGTGGCGTTCATCAAATTCGTATCAAACGTCCTTCCCATACCAAACTGACAACGATGCCGTAATATTAGTCTGTCTCACAGTCCCTGAACCACATTATTTTCCCTACTGAATAGCCCTTCCTACAATACTAAATCCCATAATGAAGCAAGTATAGATTTCCTCAGGTCTGAATCTCCTATCTCACTGAGGTTCCTTTTCAATTTAAATGAGATGTGTTGCCGTCAGAATTATAAATATTTGGAGACTAAGCGTTACTGTAATGTTACTGTGTATAGTAATGAAGCATAGATATGGCGTCATTGTCATCATTGCGAGTCAAAGATTTAGCAACATGAATTTGAGAAGGAACACTGTAGTATATCATCCTAATTCTGAAACATAAAATTGACTACGCCATGATTACTGGGAATAATATATTGAACATGGATGCTCTTGTTGCGCACCCGGGACGATCCGGACAAAATTGGTCTTCATCGACATAAAGCAATATACATTGTTTAAATATTTCTCCAGCACAATCCTGATTACAGCGCAGTTTCGAAGACACTTGACGAGCTCCATAAACATGGGTAATGTATTACTTACTCACTCACTCGTAAACAAGTATGGAAAAAACAAACCACCAATGCTCTCTGTAAAAACGTGTGTTTAACGTATCTTTGCATTGCAATTCTATAAACCATTCATCATGTCCAGAGATCTCTGCTTTCGGAGTACCTAGCATTACATGTGGTTAGTTGGATAGTGTTAAACGTCTGTATGAAATGTTATTTATGCCAGTAAAGATCTTTATTTTTTTAATTTGTTTTCATTATGCATGAAGGCCACCGGCCCATATACATATAACATATGTACAATCAAAATATATTGGAAACATGATGTAAAACAATTAAGAGTTTAACCAAATCTGTCTCTTTTTATAAGCAGTATAAATGAATTTGCATAGATTTAATAATGCTTCATTTGAAGGAGAAGTTAGCAGGTTTTTGAATATAAATATATTTGGAATGCGGTTGTAAATATGTGGAAAATAATAGAATCTTTCTTCAGAATAATATTTGCATACTAAAAGAAAATGGAATTCATCCTCTATACGGAGTTTACAGACAGGGCATGTGCGTAGAGATACATCAATATTTAACCATCTTCCTTCATTTATTTTTAATCGTAATAGGCCTGCTCGGAATTTTATATGAATATTACGATATTTGTTTTCATGTATAACACTTAAATATTTTTCCGGTTCTAGTAAACACTTACATTCTCTATACAAATTGTAGCGTGAACTGTTGTCGAGAGTACAATGCCAAGATTGGTAGAACATATTTACACATACATCTTTAAAACATCTAAGAAAATCAACCTTATTGCCTACACTTTGTGCTAACCATACAAAGCCAAATCCATGTGAAAAAAGTATATTACGAATATGAGAAGCATAATTATTTTGCCCAATGTTATCTAAATATACTGACATGTCATATGATTTTTTGGTATTCTACCAGAGTGCATTTCTGTAAGCTTTAGCCAACATTTAATAACTCGACATAAGGCATTTATATACAAAGGATATCGTCCACATTCACCATATATTATAACATTAGGCGTTTGTAATCCTACATTTAGAAATCTCTTACATGCAAGCAAATGAACTTTTTCAATATTCTCATAGCGGCTAATCCCCCATACTTCCGCACCATAAAGTAAAATTGGTTGAATTTGTGAATCAAATATTTTAAAGAATACCCTAGGATCAACCACATCAACCTTTCGTAAGTTATATAGTATTTGTAACAGTGCTCTTTTTCCTCTCAGTGCTAGATCGTCTGTACATTTATTCATTTTAAACGTGGATGAAAATATAATACCAAGATATCTATATGAATTCACAACGTCAATAACAGAGTCTTTATAATACCATATTTCTTTAGCTGATAATCGCCCACCCCTTCTAAAGACAACAATATTGGTTTTATCGAGGTTAACGTCAAGTCCCCATTTATCAGAATATGATTCTAAGATATTCAATTGTTTTTGTAGTCCCGAAGCAACGTCAGATATGAGAATGACATCATCTGCAAAAAGTAATAGCAATATCTCTAAAAAATCAGGAAACAGCTGTACACCAAATTTACCACTTTCTACAATATCAGTACACAGTTCACCAATAAAAAATGAAAAAAGAAGTGGACTTAAAATACACCCTTGTCTTAAACCGACTGGGCAAGCAAAATAATCTGTATAAACATTATCATTGCATCTTACACAAGCTGTAACAGATACATATAAACGTTTTATTGCAGCCAACATTTTGCCATTTAATCCAGAGTTTTGAAGACAGTTCCAAAGTTTATATCGTGAGACGGAATCAAAAGCTTTCTTAAAATCTACGAAGGCAACATATAATTTCTTCTTTTTTATTGCATTTTATTGAATTATTGCATTTAAGGTGAAAACATGATCAGTTGTAGAATACTCTTTTCTAAAACCGGCTTGAAATTCAGGTATTTTATCTCTTATCGTAGCCCAAGTTGTAAGTCTGGTATGAAGAATCCGTGTATATATTTTGCTGAGTACACTTAAAAGGGAAATCCCTCTGTAATTATCGGGATTACTTCGGTCACCCTTTTTATGTATAGGAATTATAATTGCTTTAGTCCAGTTTTCAGGGAAAACACCTTTTTGAAACAATGTATTAAAGAGTTTTCTAAGAAATTGTAAAATAATATGTGTAGAACATGTAAGCATTTCTACAATTATACAGTCATTACCTGGAGATTTACCTCTTTTTAGATGATCTAAGGCTGATATAATTTCAGAATCAGTGAACTCACATTCAAGAATAGTTGCATCAATATCATCAACACAGTCCTTTTCATCTTGACATTCCCAAGTTACTGTATCACTGAGCACAGGTCTATTAAAAACTGTGTTAAAATGATTAAGCAACACATTTTTATTGATCTGAGGTGATAACTTATTTCCTCCAGAGATTGATCGGAGCTCTTTCCAAAATGATTTTGGGTCCGATAATGTTGTATTTAATCTGTTTCTCCTTTTGAGCTTAAACATGGCCTTGGACTTTCTACATATATTTTTATAGTCATTCCTTAGTTTGCAATACGTGCTTCTTGTTTCGTTTGATTTATGTTTTCTGAGTCTTCTCAAAGCACGTCTTGCTTCTCTTTTAGCAGATTTACAATGATGATTATAGAATGAATTATTGACGATATTTTTGTTTCCAAGAGGCTTTTTCATACCATCAGCAGCTCCAAGAATGACAGATACAAATTCATCGACTGCATAATTAACATCGTTCTCTATATGATCTTTGAGTTCTTCATTCCTCCACAGACAACTTAGAGCTTGTAAATATGCATCAGCCTTGTTATCATCCCACCTATATAGGCTGGCACTATCAACTCGTCATGAGTATGCATGTACGTCGCTTCTAGCTTGAAACGTGAAATCCTATTACACCTTACCTCGTACTACATGTACAGTTCTTGCCAGCTCCAACTCATCAATGCTTGTAAGAGGTGTTCAGAAATACTGTGCCATCTAGTTTTATATTTAATGTTTGTTAGTTACGTAACGCCGTAACGATATTCCAGCTACTCGACAGCATCTGGATTATACAAAACCGTTAGTGATGTTATAAGACCACGTAATCATCCCGATCCATATACTCCTCTCTTATGGCCAGCAAAGACTGCGGTTGACAGATTCATTGAGGAATCTCCACCGGTTTGAAGTCTAGACAACAGTAGCGACTGATCCTCTATTTTAGGAAGGAATTCACCCACGTAGTGTTCAGATATTCTTGCCTGAATGCACATTTATTCACAGCTGACATTTTAGAGTTTGATTTGCGTCCATCAGAATAAATGTGCGAGGCCACACCATTTTCTGGGGGACACACGAACAATGGGTTCCAGACTGGGTGAGGGCCTTGACTCCCAGCCAGGTGGAGCAAGCTGTGGATGAGCGGATACAGTACATTGTCAAGGACACCAAGGGGAAGTAAGTCTCAACCTCCCAACAATAACTCACATGGACAAGAATTCTTCAAATGTCGCGTACCTGGTTTAATTTGTCTTACAGATCTCACGTTATTGATATAAGTATTTGCTGATAACATGGTATCAATTCATACGGGCATTACGAGCGATTGACTGGTGGCGAACGAACTGCTTTGCTTAGTGAAATGTCACACATGGCATACAAAGACGATGTAAAGCTAGGAGCGTGATGCGGTTAAACAAAGTTTTGTAAAAGAATGTAACTATCTCATTACATTTCAAGTATACATAGCAAGAGCGGTACTTGTATGCATAAAATAACAGATCAACACACCCACACATCAACCATATGTTCACATATATCCGTACATATATTATCACGTTTATAAATGCACAACAAACAGGGCAATCCACACCTACACGCACGCCTCATCCCCCATTAAACACACCAACACCCCTCTTCCCAGCACACATATACACACCTCTCCCCATTCACACACACACACACCCACACCCAACACCCTCTCCCCACACACACACACACACACACCCCTTCCCACACACACACACACACACACACACCCTCCCAACACACATCCACACACCTCTCCCATGCACACACACCCACCCACCCAACACCCTCTCCCCAACACACATCCACACACCTCTCCCCATTCACACACACACACACACACCAACACCTCTCTCTCCAACACACATCCATACACCTCTCCCCATTTACACCCACACACCTCCCCAACACACATCCACACACCTCTCCCCATTCACACACACACCACTTTCACCAACATACATCCACACACCTCTCCCCATTTACACACACTCACACACACACACACACATGCCAACATCCCTCTCCCCAGAACCCACTGACGGACACACACATGCACGCGCGCGCGCGCCACGCACGCACGCACACACACACACACACACACACACACACACACACGAGAACCCGGTTTCACGGTTCCATCAAACCCACGTACTGTGTTCTTACACACATGTTCTAATGTTGTGGCCCTCTATGTCCTTTCCTACAGACTGCAGCAGTGGGATGTGAACAACGAATTGGTGCGTGGACACTGGTTCGAAGAAAAGACTAGAGACAGATTCTACACTCACAAGATGTTCGCCAAGGTGCACCAGGCAGATCCCAGTGTCAAACTCTTCCTCAATGACAACAATGTTGTGGCCACCGGATTTGCTACTACAGTAGGTTCGGAGCTGTAGCGTTTATTAATTATTATATGCTATAATGGGCTGTATCGGGACACGACAGTATCATATCTTTGCCTGTGATGTAAAATCCAATCATCTTAATAAGTCGACGTCATCATTATCTCATGGAACAGTGGCACCATATACTTTGGAAATAATGAAGAAACTGAAGCAATAAGACATATACAGTGGACTCCCTCTAAACCGACATCCCTATAATCCGACATTCCCTGTAAACCGACATATTTATTTGGTCCCGAATTTGTCCGTATATAATATCATATAAGTAACTCCCTCTAATCCGACATCCCTCTATCCGGTCCGACATCCCTCCAATCCCGTCCGACATCCCTCTATCCGGTCCGACATCCCTCCAATCCCGTCCGACACCCCTCTATCCGGTCCGACATCCCTCCAATCCGGTCCCAAAACATGTTTTTAGCGCAAACTGACTCTCTCTAGACCGACATCCCTCGAGCTCTAAACCCATATTTTTCACCGGTCACGAGCGATGTCGGTTTCGAGGGAGTCCACTGTATTAGTGTCTTGTGATCGAGTGAACAGGCAACGCACATGCTTTCACGTGATGAGTGGGTAAGTGAGTGCGCTTAGTTTTACACCGCTTTTAGCAATATTCCAGCAATATCACGGTGGGGACACCAAAAGTGGGCTTCACACATTGTACCTATGTGGGGAACCTAGATTACCACATCGCCCCTTTCACGTGATAAAGACATCTACCAAAAGATAGATATGATAAGGAGTGGAAAAGCCACATTCTGTTATCATAAGGACCTTATCTATCTAAACACTGTGGTATAGGTACAATCCAGACAAACTTGGAAATGAGTACAGTACAGACAGAGCGAGGGGTGGATGGTAGATGATAAAGGGCTTTGTGTAGTCAGTGGGGGATAAGGATAGAATACAGACATGATTCTTTATTATTGTAGCAGCTTGAAAGCCAATCAATTGCAGTCAATTCATCTGACAGAAGAGTCATGTTCTGACACTTCTGGGTTGATTTAAACCAAATAACATATTGATACTCTAAACACCCTGGAACAGACTCGTGACAACATTTATGAAATAAAATATCAAATATGATCCAAAATTGTGTATATTGAACCTTTGATAAAATCAATCACAACCCACTAAATACTTTGGCCCCAGAAAAGCATGAACTTACACATTACCCAAAGGTTAATCATATCGCTGCGCATGTTTCGGATAAAAACTCTGTCAAACTAAAACATATTTCACACAGGGGTAAATGCCATATTAAATTTTAGTTCGTATGATATCCTGGGAAAAAAGCAGCATTTCTTCTTTTGTCGAGTATATGATAGGGCGATCTTCAACAGTGTGGTAACCTGTACTTCAAGTATCTACCAAGTTCCTTTTTGTCCACAGGCATACGTTGTCCAAGCAAAGGAGTTTAAGGCTGCCAATGTGGGTCTGTACGGCCTGGGTATCCAGTGTCATTTCCTGCCATACACGGCTCCTGATCCAACTCTCATGAAGGTATGAAGAGAATCCCTATTCTCTCTACAATTTTAATGTCAATTTTTCCAGAAGGTATAAACAAGACGATATTGACCTAATTAAATGTGCAAACTGTAAATTGGGTTTTATTGAAGATGAATTCTATGTATTTTTAGTTTGTGATAAATATAGAGATCTGAGAGAGAAATATGTTCCACATATTAAACATGTCCATAAAAACAATATGTTAATGGTAAATTTATTAAACTATCAAAATCATCTTGTTATACATGCAGTTGCAACATTGTTAAAACATATATTTATTGCTAGATAACTATTTCAATTTGTGCTCACGTGACATTAAAAATACATGATATATATAAACTGTAAAATGGGCCATAAGGCCGTATATTACCGAATAAAGTGTCTGTCTGTCTGTCTGTCCTATTCTCTCAGTACTATTTTTTAAACAAACGTTTTGCGATAACAATTTCAGTCTTTAAACGGAGACAACAATACAACACTCTGATATGGCGGTATACAACGCAGCAGTATGTACAAGGGTTCCATAATACTACAGTCTCCGAGGCATGCAATAACACACCATGAGTTGAGTAACGCAACATGGACTGGCACAAATTCATTAATGGCCAGCACGATTCCTGTTAATACATTCAGCAACATGAGGCTCTTGTGGTCCTATTTCAGAGACGCCTGGACATGTTGGCCACGACTGGCCTGCCTCTGTGGGTCACCGAGTTGGACGTTGTGGCCAGTACCGAAAACATCCGAGCTGACTGGTACGACACGGCACTGCGCATGCTGTTCAGTCACCCGGATGTTGAGGGAATCATACTCTGGGGATTCTGGGATTTACATCACTGGAGGGGCAAGGAGGCAGCTCTTGTTAATGGACCTAACTTTCATGTATGTTAAAGCGGAATAATCTGTACTGGTATATATACACACGATACACATATTTCATATGGATCAGATGAAAGCCAAGTGGTTGTAAAATTTGCTCGTCTCTCTGAAGGCCCGAGTTCGATTCCTAACTTGGGACAATATGTGAAACCCATTTCGGATGTTGCTTTCCGTGATACAGCTGAGATATTACTATAACCGGCGTAAAACCATACACCCTTTTATGGAATAATATTGACCCTGAGAGCCTTAACATTTATTACTCAGTCACAGCAAATGTCACTAAAATATGGGCGTGTTGGACGATATGATAAATCAACACAGACGAGGGTTTCTTTAAATTGCACAAACTGTTTCTGTATACAAGGTTAACGCAGCAGGAAAGAGATACATCGACCTCCTCTACAAGGAATGGAGTACACACGTCACACACAAGGTGTCATCAGGGACACAGTTTAACGTCCGAGGTTTCCATGGTGACTACAGGGTCGTCGTCAAATACCATGGCAACCCGGTGATGCAGCAGACTTTTACCCTGGGGAAACAGGACAAACAAGTTAACATCCAGATCACCGACGTCAACCGTGAGTTTGTTTACATGCAACCTTACGTTTTCACTAATCTGTTCGTATACTACTGGAATAAAGTAACTGTGCATTATTTCATGTTATGCCCTTTTATAATGCAAAAAGATAATAACATGATTTGTGATGTTTTCCTTAATCTCTATTTAACTGTTGACAGGATAATATCGAAATCTGTATGATTTGACACTAGGCATCGTGGCACGCCTTTGAAGAGATATGGTGTCAAAAGTCAGTTAACAAATTCAGTATCGTGTGTGTCCACCATTGGCGTTGACGCATGCTTGACATCGACGACGCATAGGCGACACTAAGAGATTGAAGATATTTTTGGGGAATGTTGTTCCATGTCTGAACCACCGCTTGTCCCAATTCAGCTAACGTCAATGGCTGATTGTTGCCTTGACGTAAGCGTCGCTCCATTTCATGCTTCACGTGCTCGATAGGGGACAGGTCCGAAAAACCCATATGGACGAGTATCATCTTACTGAAGCGTGAGATTACGTCTCTGTCCTTGAATGAAGGGTTGCGCATGAGGCCCAATGATCTCATCCCTGTATCCAGAACTGTCAGACTGTCACTGACAATGACAAGTCATGTCCGACCATGACATGTGATGCTCGTCCCTCATACCATAACGCTTTGCGCCACCAAACTGTCGACGTTGAACAATGCATACCGTTCACCTCGCAGTCTGCACACCCTTGTCTTACCATCGGAGCTGTACACATGAAATCTTCCGGCCCGAGGCAAATCTCTCTGGAGATGTTGAGAACGTCTCCAAAGAGATGAGATCGTGTTTCGATGGACACCAAAATGTCTGGCCACTTTATTTTTGGCAAATCCAAACTGCAGCATACCCACGTCGCGGAGACGCCGATTTTCCGTAAGCCGTGGCATGACGGACGCGCAGTTTAGGTTGAAATTAACGTGTTTTCCACAACATTCAGAGGCTGGAGAATAATCAACCATTGTTCAAATTTCAATATCAGGTGTGTGACCTTCAGGTGTAAAAAAGCATGCAAAAAGTGAGTAAGTTCATTGTGCACAAAGTGCACGTACTACGCGCGATACGTGACATCAAATTTTATGCAAAGTTGTTTGCTCTTGCATGTTTATTTAGTGTTATTTTTATAACTTTGCAAATAAGTTTTATTTTATGCACAGTTACATTTTTCCGTTAGTATATTATTTTCAGCGCACTTTTGCCATATACACTTAAAGGAAACTGTATTGATGGATAATTGAGGGTGATTATTTTCTGGCGTTTAAAATTTATTTAACATAAATCACAGAATATCTAATACTTAATTATCATTGAACTCAATGTTAAAACATCAACGTCTCTTCGCCTTGTTTATCAGTAAGATACCAGTTTCAAATACTGTAACCCGTAAAGGTCCGGGTTAGAACTGATCTTCAGTAACCCATGCTTGTCGTAAGAGGCGACTAACCGGATCGGGTGGTCAGGCTCGCTGACTGGGATGACACATGTCATCGTATCCTAGTTGCGCAGATCGATGTTCATGCTGTTGATCCCTGGATTATCTGGTCCAGACTCGATTATTTACATCCCGCCGCCATATAGCTGGAATATGTGCTGTGTGCGGCGTAAAACTAAAGTCACTTACTCACTCAAATATTGTATAAAATCAGTATTTAGAGCTAACATGGCGCGGCAAGGTATAACGAATAATCATTTCAGATATAAACTACACAAATAAGCCGAAGATCATCCGATGCAATCATATCACTGACAACTGGTATACCATGGCAGGGAAGGTGAACTGTTGAAATCTGACAGGATCGGGTTTACTTTGACTTCTTATGCATAGCAAATGTCTGTTTGACAATATATCCAGATCACATAAACATTCCAACAACGAAGTCCCCCATCGACTACCACCGCGTCATTTCTCACCCCGTGGCACACATCAACGAACACTCAATGGGACAAAAGACCTCGGGCACCTCCAGTAAGCTGACCTGTGTCTCGGCTTTCTCGGGCTTCTCTCAAGTTGGGAATGACAAGATGACGGAGGTTGGATGTGCTAGCGGTTACGTCCTGACCGGATGCTTGGGGAAAATAAAGGTTAGCCACTGCAAAAATGCATCCCTGAAAATAATCCAAAATCCAAAAACTAACTGGTAAATGTGCCATGGCTGCCTGTCCGGCGTCGTCCATCCTTATAGCAGAAACTGGTAGGCTCACTAAGATGAAGATTCACGCGCTTGTCCATACAGCCAGCTAAATTTGTTGAAGACGTTCAAATTCGTTTCGCCGTTACAGCCTAACTGGCTGTTAACGTCTATCCCTCGTTCCTTCCTACAATCTACCTATCTTCTTCCAGCAAAACACCATTTAATCATTCATTCACGCCTTCAGGTTCTGAGAAAACATCGTTGGTTGTTTTGTTTGGTTGTTTTACGCCGCACTCAGCACATATTCCAGCTATATGGCGACGGTCTGTAAATAATAGAGTCTGGATCAGACAATCCACTGATCAACTTCATGAGCATTGATCTACGAAGTTGGGAAACGACCACATGTGTAAATCAGGTCAGCGAGTTTGATCAGCTGTTGTCAGTTTGATCAAGAGATTCCATTGCTTCCATTGTTTACTCCTTGTTACCAGGATAATCGTAATACCCGAGATGGGGAGGCAGTTTACATGCAGAATGGGAACCCTCTTTGTCAGACATATGAAGGGAGTCATGCAACTGCACGTGAGTTACTGAGCATGGTACAAGAGAATTATTGCTTCTGATTCCGTCGAGTGAGATGCGGGAGGAAATGTCATTGGGTAACATGTGATGTGAAAGATCAAAGCCTCCTCCTCGGTTTCGTTTGAAAAGTAAGCTCGCGGCAGAGGGAAATTGGGGAGGTGATAATCTGACCTAATACCGTGTGAGAACCAGGATCACAAAGCATGTTAGATTTAACAGTGTGAACATGTGCTCTGTTTACATCTGACAATGAGAGGTGCGAATGACACGTGTTTGTGTTAAAGTAACTGTGTGAGATTCTAGAGGAGCACACGTCAAAGTGTTAGATGTAACAGTGTGAACATGTGCTCTGTTTACATCTGACAATGAGAGGTGCGAATGACACGTGTTTGTGTTACAAGTAACTGTGTGAGATTCTAGAGGAGCACACGTCAAAGTGTTAGATTTAACAGTGTGAACATATGCTCTGTTTACATCTGACAGTGAGAGGTGCGAATGACACGTGTTTGTGTTAAAGTAACTGTGTGAGATTCTAGAGGAGCACACGTCAAAGTGTTAGATTTAACAGTGTGAACATGTGCTCTGTTTACATCTGACAGTGAGAGGTGCGAATGACACGTGTTTGAGGTGCGAATAGATTTAACGTGTTTGTGTTGAGAGGTGCGAAGTGAACTACAAGTGTGAGATTCTAGAGGAGCACACGTCAAAGTGTTAGATTTAACAGTGTGAACATGTGCTCTGTTTACATCTGACAGTGAGAGGTGCGAATGACACGTGTTTGTGTTACAAGTAACTGTGTGAGATTCTAGAGGAGCACGCGTCAAAGTGTTAGATTTAACAGTGTGAACATGTGATCTGTTTACATCTGACAATGAGAGGTGCGAATGACACGTGTTTGTGTTACAAGTAACTGTGTGTGAGATTCTAGAGGAGCACGCGTCAAAGTGTTAGATTTAACAGTGTGAACATGTGCTATGTTTACATCTGACAGTGAGAGGTGCGAATGACACGTTGTTTGTTTTAAACATATTTTATTCATGAGAAAAGGATTGGGTACAAGTTATACAACTTAGAACACCCTCTCCGTAGTATTTACATAGTATTATTTACATTCATTCAAGATGGACAGAGAAGAACAGAGCAGAAATATGGGAAAAAGGGGAACAATTGCAACAATTAAGAAAATCGTTTTGAATGACAAATATATGTTTGAACAATTTTAAATATGTTTTGATTTATGTGAACAGTCAGATCTGCATTGCCATGTAATAGTAACTCATAGGTTATATCCACATTTGTAATACTGCGTAAATTAGTCATCATGGTAGTTCTCTGTACTGTATATAATTGACAGTCAAATAAGTAATGATAAGAATTTTCACAAACATTTCCACAAGAACAACTTGGGTTATCTCTTAAACCAGCACGGAATAGATCATAATTCAACTGACTACACATGTAACGTAGTTTTGTAAGGATGATGTTAGTGATTCTCGGTCCAGAATCAAAGTATTGAGGAGCAGTTTTATGTTTTATAACAATATTCGATATAAAAGAATTCAATGACTCGCTTTTTCTCACTTCAACTGGAAGTTCATTCCACATTCTAATTGTGGATGAAAAATAAGAATCATACGAAAATTTTAATCGCGAGAAAGGAAGTGAGACATCATCAGAGTTGCGAAGATTATAGCTACATTTAGATGCTACGTCCCCAGGAACAAGATCAATAAGGTACGATGGTGCCATATTATTCTGTATTTTGTAAAAAGGCGAAGTTTACGCTTTCTCCTACGTTCTGCTAAAGATTCCCAACCAGTTTCATAATACAGATGTTCATGATGAGTATATTTAGGTAAACCTGTTACAATTCTTGCTGCTTCTAATTGCAGTTGTTCTAATTTATTTGCTTGATATTTAGCACATCCATCCCATACTTCACACGCATATTCAAAATGGGGTCTTATGAACATTACGTAAATTCTATTCAATACAGAGCGCGGTAATAAAAATTTGAGTTTACGTAGAGAAGATATCATTTTGAAGTTATTTTACAATATTATCAATATGGTCAGACCATTTACAATCTTTTGAAAATGTTAATCCCAAATGTTTATGATTATTAACTGTTTTGACACAAACCCCGTTAAAGTAGAGATTTAGTGCATCAACATTCTTTTGCAAGGAGAAAAAGATTGCCTCAGTTTTATCAGGATTGTATGTTATAAGCCACCGCTTTGCCCAAGCCCGCAGCCTTTCCAAGTTTAAATTCAAATCTCTTTCAATGAATAGACGATCATGAGAAGATGACCCAAGAGACGAATCATCAGCAAATAATCGTGTCAAGCAGTTTAAATCATCAGCAATATTATTGACATGAACAAGAAATAAGAAAGGACCGAGGACTGACCCTTGAGGGACACCAGCTTGTAAATACCCCGGCTTGGATAGGGCTCCATTCACAAAGACGCTTTGTGAACGATTACTTATGTAATCTGCTAGCCAATTTAACAATGAACCATGAATTCCGTATTTTTCTAATTTCAACAATAAACCTTTATGCCACACACGATCAAAAGCTTTAGAGACATCACAGAAAACCAAACAATAGTGTTTTTTATCATCTAAAGCCGCACAGATTTGGTCATATATTTCAATTAATTGATGAACAGTTGAGTGACCAGACTGAAAACCTGATTGATACTTATACAATAATCGATTTGCATGAAAATAGTTGTACAGACGTTTAAACATCACTCTCTCAAACACCTTGCCCACACAACTGATCAAGGATATAGACCGATAGTTAGAGGCCACTGAGGGATCACCCTTTTTAAATAGGGGCATTACATATGCTTCTTTCCACACACTTGGATATATACTACTTTTTAATGACTGATTAAATAACATGCACAGTGGGATACTTATTGAATGTACAACATTTTTAAGAAACTTATGACTGATTCTGTTCGGGCCAGAAGCTTTTTTAAGATGTAAACATTTGATTATATCGGACACTTCATTTACATCAATTGTTACACTATCTAAAACAGAATCAGTGCGTTTGTCAAAGAATGGCATATATGTGTTTTCTTCATCAATATTAGATATAGACTGAAAATACTGATTAAGTTTCTCTGCTTTCTGCATATCAGTGAATAACGTTGGGTTTTCATCTGCATCATTTTGTCTTAAAGACGGAATGCAAGTGACTGATCCTGAATCATTAATCAAAAACCGAAGTAATTTCCAATAGGAATTTTTATTACTAGAATACAGATGAAGTAAAAAATCGTTTGTGAGACTGGCATAAAATGAATCCTTTGCATAACATTTCATATTATTTACTTTATTTCTTTGTTTCTTATAAGCCAAAATATCTACTAGACGGTTTGTCTTTTGGGCCTTTTTTCTTATTCTATTTCTTTTTCTACATTCTCTCCGAAGTTCTGAAGTAAACCAAGGTTTATCAGTTGGTCGAATGGTGACCGTTCTAGAAGGAATACACACAAATATAAAACGGTTGAGATGCTTATAAAACAGTGCACAGGCTTCATTAACATTCCTGCAACTACTAAATATGTTATACCAATTTGTCTCATTAATCATAGCATTGAGTTTCTCATAGTCACCTCTTTCATAACATAATACGTTTCTTTTGTAGGCTAACCTGGTATTTACATGAGCATCAACGGTGATATACGTACCTTTGTGGTCACTTATACTTTTACATAAATCTACAACACCACTGTCTAAAACATCAGCATCTTCAGATATAATGATGGGATCAAGCAGTGTGCTCGTTGTTTTTGTTACTCTCGTTGGGTCTTTAATAACATTTTTCAGATTTTTTCTGGCTATTAAATCATGCAGATACGTGTTATTATTCGACAAAAGGTTTGCATTTAGATCGCCAACAACGGTAATTTTACTCGAGATATCTAATGCGGTCTCAATGCTACTATCAAGCCGACTCCAGTATTCTAAACCTTGGTATTGTGGTCTGTAGGTGACACATAACACAAGTGGCTTTTGTGGGATAAATACTTTAACCCATATAGATTCATCACAGTGATTTTCAAGATGACATAATCTCGTAAAACAGAGAGCGTGATTAATATACATGATAACTCCACCACCGAAAGAATTTCTGTCTTTCCGTATGGGTTCATGAAAATTCACCCATTTGAGCGTATCAATATCTACATCGGAATCTAAATGGGTTTCAGTTAGGCAAATAATGTCATATTCAGATAAATATTCAGACAGGTATTTTAGTTTGTGGCGTAAACTTCTCACATTGAGATGGAAGATTGAGAGTGATTTGTCATAGTCTGCACGTGAAAATGGCCCTGGATTTAACTCTACGTCTCCCGCAAGCTGAATTAACAATAGCAGATGTAATACTACATTGATATTGACAATTTGCGACTGCAGCACACTAAGAGTAACTAACACACAGCTTGATTTACATGAAATTGTTAAGATAGTATATATGAAGGAGAGCTCAGTGAGAAAATGTTCTCTGAACGATTTGCCACTCATGCTGAAAAAATAATGTTTTACATTCATACGCAGTTGTTTGCAAAGTCGGACACAATTGAAGACACCGATCGCCACACGATGTTGCATAACATTATTACCCATTTTTTAAACAGACTGATACATAGAATATGGTTACAGTGTGACAGGCGGATCGGATGTCAACAATAGTGGATACATACATGCATAATTGTGACATATGACTGAACGGCAATGCAGATCTGAGGTTGTGCTTGGATACAATAATGGAATATGGATACTGAGGAGAAATAACAGATTTGGTACAAATAATGAGAAAGTTGGAAACAAGAAAGGTAAGGCTATATACAGTGATATATACACACAGAAAACATGATAACAGGATGTATAGCGGCTAAAATGTGGATTTCAAATTTACTTACATTTTACATATTTACAATCCATGAATATCCTTGATTAGCACACATCACAAGAACACAACTAGAACACAGTTATCTCCTGTACTGATCGAGTTCCGACTCGTCGTGAATCACACGGGTACGTCCTTCGATCTGTTCGAGAATGTTCACACGTCCATCTCTTGTCCACGTTGACTCAATTCGTCCCTGTTTCTTGAGTAACTGTGTGAGAATGTGTAGGGGGTCAAAGTGAGATCACAGAGGACATGTAGTAGTGATATATGTATATTGTGAGTTTCTGTGAGATATGTTACATCCCAGGGAAGACGTGCAAGGGTTACCTGTAACAGTACGAGATACGAGAAGCGGCTCTTGTTACAGCTGCTCAGGCGACGGCGAGATGTTGTAAACTGACAGGCCTGAAGTGTGACTACCGGAAGTCAGGGGTCTCACAAGGAGTGCTGGACCAGCGGCTGGAGACCCAGTGTCTCAACAACATGTTCGCTACAGGTGAGAAGGAGTTGACCTGTGGTCATTTCTGTATTGTGTGCAAAATGTACTAATTTAATGAAAGTGAGTGAGTGAGTTTAGTTTTACACCGCACTCAGCAATAGTCCAACTATATGGCGTCGTTCTGTAAATATTCCAGTCTGGACCAGACAATCCAGTGATCAACAGCATGAGCATTGATCTGCACAATTGGGAACCGATGACATGTGTCAACCAAGTAAGAGAGCCTGACCACCCGATCCCGTTAGTCGCCTCTTGCGACAAGCATGGGTTACTGAAGGCACATTCTAACCTGGACCTTCACGGGTCCATTTAATGAAAGTATAATCAGGACCTCTTTGTAACCACTGTAACGTGTTTAACTTACCAGGTTGTACGTCTCACAACAGCAACGAGCACACCGATGGGGCGTTTCCTTCTTCCCATTCGTGTTTTGCCCAGAATTCTGAAAACTATGGCGGTAAGATGAGGACTTTTTCCTGTATATTCACCGTAAGTGGACAATTACAATTAACACAATATCATGGTCTACGATTTCAAAACGAGCAAAGCTAGTGAATACATCAGAACGTTTAAGAATATTGAGTTGGAATATTTTCCATATTCAGCATCAAAGAGTTTTGTGGTCTATGTATCACACACAGGACGGCAAAACGTGGGATCCATGATGACAAATCAAGCAGACGATACCGGATGTAAACAAAACGAACGGAAGATAACTCTGTCACGACTACTTTAAAGATGAAATGAACAATTAACAATATTCAATCGAAAAATAATACTTACGCCAGGACACCGAAAATTGAATTTTAATGTTTGGTTCAGATTTTTGGTAAAAAACTGCTTGAATGGAGTGATAATATTTTATTTAAAATACCGGCAAAGTTCGCATTATGACGTCACTATCGTTGAAGAACCTAGTTTGGTGACACAGCACTTGTTGGATAGCTTTCAACTGGTTACACAACACATGTATGTTTCAAATACATGTAACCAGAAGTATCTCATAAAGATATTTAGAACACGCGTGTAATAAACTGTCCTACACAACCATTTTGTTCACTAAAATTAACCAAGTCATTTTGATCCCCAGTACTCACCCCATTCCTTGTCTTATTCCAGGTGTAACGTCCTATGCCATGTGCTGTTCAGCCCCTAATCTCACCTGTCAAGTAAAGACGTCCAAACCCACGGGCAACAAATTAGGGGACGTGGCCGGTGTTTCATGTGACTCTGGGTGGCAGCTCGTGGGCTGCTCAGGATTTTCTGAGGATGGCAAAGTAGGAGGAGCGTATATTAAAGGTGTGTTCATGATGGAAGGTAGCGGATATTCCGACCGAGTGACTACGGTAATATGAATGGCTTACTATGTGGGGCAGCAAACTTGAGTTGGTTACCTACTGGAGAAGTAAAATCGGAGTGGATGATCTGTTGGAGGAGTTAATTTTAGTTGGCGATTGAGTAGAAGAGTTTATGTGTTTGACTTTGAGGAGTTACTTCGTGGGTGACATTGAGTGTTCATGAGAGAGGTTAGCCAAGGGAAGGAGTTACTGAGAGTGTGTGAACGAGTGTAGGATCCAGGGAGACCGGTTTTGAGTTAATGTTTGGTTTTACGCCGCTTTTAGCAATATTCCAGCAATATCAGGGCGGTAACACCAGAAATGGGGTTCACACATTGTACCCATGAGGGGCATCGAATCCTGGCATTATGCTTCAACCACCAGGCTAACCCACCGCCCCGTTGAGTGTGTAACCTTGTAGAGGGGGTTAATGATAGCGGTTAGCCCAAGGGGTAGGGTGGTGGTGTGTGTGTGATTTTTTTTCGAGTTGCTGACCAAGAGGAAGAGTTAATGAGCGGGATTTGACTGACGAGTCGGAGACCAGCTTTTAAGTGAATTGACCTTTAAGGAAACACAAGTGAAGGAGTAGGAAGTAAATAGTGAGTGAGTGGAGTTTTAGTGACGCTTTAGCAACATTCCAGCATATCACGGTTTGGGGACGCCAGAAATGGGCTTCAGACATTGTACCCATGAGGGGAATCGAACCTGGATTTCCAGCGTGACGAGCGAACACTTTAACCACTAGACTACCCCATCGCCCCCAGTAAACAGGGAGTGAAGCATCTATTTTTATATCTTTTTTTAAATTCCGTTTCAAGTTGCATGTGCAGGCAGAAGAGTGACATATGTTGGCAGTTATATCATCAAGTTAATATACAAAATTGAATATACATATGAGGGTGTACATATATAGATAGACAGGAGCTAGATAAAAGTGTTATAGCTGTAATGGCCACATTAGTTGGTGAAGTTGTGTGTGTGCTAAATTAACATGTCAGAGTAGGGTATCTAAGTGATGCTATTTCTTAGTAAAATAACTAAATTTATTATTTTTCATTGCAATAAACCTTTCAATATAGCACATGTCCTTCAGCAACATAAGAAATCCTGCAAAAGATATATCTTGCTGCTTCAGGCTTGAAGTATAGATTAATCTTTTGGCAGGTAGTATAATGTGATTTACTACTTGGTTGTTTGAGGACAGTCCAAACATAATAATGAATTTAGATAGTGTCAGATTGGTTTGGAGGTCATTATTAAGGAATTCTTCAACTTTAAGCAAAAAGTTGACAAACTGTTATTCAAAGAAAACATCTATCTTCTGAGGCGGTTTTACAAAATGTACTAGGTACAAAAAGAAACTGTGCATTGAATCATTCTACGGTTTTAATCAGTCGTTTTGAAATACATGTATTACACGATCAGGCAAAGTTTATGGATAGATAAGCACATTATGAGTTGAACAATCAGTCAGTAGGTTGTTCTAATGAACGTCAGCGTACCTATAGGTCCAAGAACACTCGAGGGGTCAAAGAGTAATTTCACATCCTTAATATCGGGTTTGACCTCCATTTGCCTGAATCGTTGCATTACAACGACATCTCATCAACCCAATCAGACGTATCAGGAAGACTTGAGGAATGTTATTCCAAATCCTGATTAGTGCTGCAGTCAGTTCTTGCACGGTCGCTGGAGGGTGTGGCTGGCGACGTAATCTCCGCTTCATTTCATCCCATATGTGCTCAATGGGAGAAAGATCAGGTGAATTCGCAGGCCATGGCGGAAGGTCAACATTATTCTGCGTGCGGTGTGCGGTCGGGTGTTGTCTTGCTGCAGAATAACGCCAGGTACATTACGTTGAAGGAAGGGGAGGATGACAGGGGCTACACTATGGTCACGATATCCAACACCAGTGAGGTTGCCCTGGATAACCACAAGTTCAGTACGGTTCTTAGCTGTGATTCCACCCCATACCATCACTGAACCACCACCGAAACGATTCCTTTCAATGACACAGGCCTGAGCATAGCTTTCGCCACGGCGCCTGTAGACTCGTTGGCGACCAACAGAATGTGACAGATTGAACCTTGATTCATCCGTGAACAGGACGTTCCTCCACCAGTGAAGAGGATGTCTGATGTGATGCCTGCACCACTGCAGCCGATTAAGTCGATGACGTTGTGTAAGAACAGGTCGAATTGCAGGTCGACGTGCATGGAGTCCAAACTGACGTAGGCGGTTTCTGAAGGTGTTAGGATGAATTCGCCTTAAGTTAGGAATGGTTCTGGTTGTTGTTACGAGATTTTGCATGCGATTACGTGGGTATTCTGTATCCATCTGTCCTGAGCAGGGTTGGTTACTCTTGGACGCCCTGTCCGCTGTCGGTCTTGAATGTCATTAGTCTGGCGGTATTGTCGTCTTAGAGCTGCAACAGTGTTTCGGTGACAATTGAAGCGCCTGGCAATCTCCTGTTGAGAGACACCTGCTTCAAGCAAACCAATTGCTTGATTACGTTGTGCATTTGACAGTCGTGGCATATTGTCTGAATAAACAGCCAAATTCTTGTTTGTTTTTTTAAAGGGAGGCAGTACAAAGCTTCAAATTATATTGTCAGCATTCACTGATTTCAACTGTTGAAAGTGGTGTATGGTTGCACGTGCAGATCACGTGGTAGTGACTTCCCACGCATGATGTGCATGATTTTATCGGGAAATGCGTAACAATCAATTCAATGTGGTCATAACACGTTTATCATGATATTATTTCATAACTTTACTTCTATTCCTTAATGATCTATACGGGTTTTTGAGATTCACAGTTTCTTTTTGGATATACATGTATCGTCATCAACTAACTTCATCTTCAATCATTCTTTTTTTGGTATAAATTATTCTGTTTATAAATTTGTTTTGAAAGTTTAAGAGCTTACAGCCATTTGTACATTTCCTATAACAGATAAATACATCTTTCTAGTCAATCTCATGCTGAAAGTGTTCCAATATTCTAATGACTTGGGTGTAGTATCATTCTTAATTAGTTTATCATAGAATTTCCTCGAACCTTTAGCATTACAGGTAATATATTTGTATATACTTTTAATATGTGTCTGATCAAATGTAAGTTTCCTGTTTCTTATCCGATATCTCCAGTTATTTGGAATATTGTTTGACAAACGTTGATAATCTAAGAAAGTGCCCTGCATTCTGTATCTCTGTTTTAAATTTTCAAAACATAGCCTCTTTTACATGCACACATTTACTCCTGTAAGTATATTTACTTGTGGAGTAAATTAACTCACAGGAGTAAAAGTATATTTACATTCTGTTCGCATAGCTATGTAACCAATAGGAGATCATCTTATTTGCATACCACCCAGACATCTGGTTTTGAAGAATTTTTGTCTTTTAATCTTCAGACATAAAATGAGTAGGCTGTTGATTTTAAAACGCAGACGAGATCTGCAGTATTTGTTTTACTACAGGACTTGTCCCAGGCTTAACAAACGACAAACATGATTGGGTAAAGGCCCGTTTAAGAGCCTGGTGGACAGACATTGTGCAAGGCACTTTGATGAAGGCCAGTGGGTAGAGAATTTTCGAATATGACTAAAGAAACATTTGCTGAACTGGGACCCTCATTAGTAAGGACTTGTAGCAGCGACCTGAATCAGTTCCATATCGAAACGCGTTAACCCCTTGTAACGATTTGAAAAAATAGCTTACGATGTGTCGCGAAATTTTAAACATGCCCTTTTTCTCACGGCGGATTGCATGCTACAAGTTCTTTACTACAGATAGTACCATGTACTGGCACCTTTATCATTGTATCTTTACAATGGTACTTTTTATTGTAAATTTACTCCAGGAGGGTAAGTACTTACGTGAGTAAATTGGTTTTGTGACGTTTACATGGTTAATTTACTTACCATAAGTAAAGTTACTTACATAAGCGAATTTACTCCTGTAAGTAAATGTATGCATGTAAAAGCGGCTTTAGAAAGCCATTTTCATCACATATATATTTTATACTATGTATACCGTGACTAAACCAGTTATTTTAATATAATTTCGTACTTTGATGATTTAAAGAAATGATTCAACCAAAGTGTCAAGATTTGGTCTACATCATTTTCCTCAAAAACGTTTCTTATAGAATATCCTCCAAGAAGATAAAACGTCTCTCCAATAAGGATTATCATGGTCAGATAAACAGTCAACAGCATTGGAGCCAAGTGAGAATAATTGAATTACGGGAAAGATGTTTATAGATTCTATTGCTTTTTTATATAGTTTTTCAATGAGGATAATTTCAAAGCATTAATTTCTATATCAATCATTCTGAGGCCTCCATGTTGATAGTCAGTCCAGCCGTCAGTCTTAACCACAATGGTGATTATTCAACTTTCTTTCATAGCCATTATAAAATCGGTTACTTATATTCAAACAGAATATTTCCTTGCTGTTTCAGCTAACCCTGACCAGTGCGTGGCGGTGAATGGAGCTGAGAGACTGTGGGGAGAGATGGGGGTCACAGCCTTCGCCACCTGCTGCAGACCACACTGATGGAGTTGGAATAAATACAATATCACTAGGAGATGTATTTGCGTGATTCTCTTCTAGAAACGTGTCAAGCGTGTCAACCGACCTCACGCGGTCAGACGTCCAGAATATGGAATGAATGGAATTGAAAAGTTGAACTTAAAATGACTGTGATACAGAATGCTCTAGAGGGTTGTTCGTATATAGTGAGTGAGGGGGGTATGGTTTTACGCCGCTGTAAGCAATATTCCAGCAATATAACGACGGGGAACACCAGATCTGGGCTTCACACACTGTACCCATGTGGGGAATCGAACCCGGGTCTTCAGCGTGACGAGCGAACACTTTAACCACTGGGCTACCCCACCGCCGCTGTCCGCAAATAAGCAGACGATTGTTGATTGTTGAAACTCAATTACGGATAGAAACGAACCTCGATGTTAAGGACTTTTACTACTGCAGGTATATCGTCACTTCCTTGATTTCTTTTAGCGGCGTTACAAGCGTACAGGACGATGCGATGAAGACGATAAGTTATTTTGACGGTGTCAAAAGCGAAGTTGACGATACTTTTAGACGATGACCTATTGTGACGGTATTGTAAACATATTACGATGACGTAATCTGACTGCGTTACAAGCGTAGTCTACGATTCGACTCTCAATGACTTACATCGACGTCGTTACATGCGTAGTCTACGATGCTGCTCTCAATTACTTACATCGACGTCGTTACAAGCGTAGTCTACGATGCTGCTCTCAATGACTTACATCGACGTCGTTACAAGCGTCGATGCTGCTCTCGTAGTACATCGACGTCGTTACATGCGTAGTCTACGATGCTGCTCTCAATGACTTACATCGACGTCGTTACATGCGTAGTCTACGATGCTACTCTCAATGACTTACACTGAAGGCGTTACAAGCGTAGTCTACGATGCTACTCTCAATGACTTACATCGACGTCGTTACAAGCGTAGTCTACGATGCTACTCTCAATGACCATCACCCATTTGTTATTGTCGTTGTGGACGAGATTGTATTGGGTGTTTTTCAATCTCCTAGGCTACCACCACCACCACGGCGGACTTCCGCTCGCCTATAAGTATTGCTTCTTAATTCTAAACAGTATATTTTGCCTTCGACCCCGGGTTCGTCGAAGCCGCGCGTGTCCCCGAGGTCGGAGATCCCTGTGGTAGGGCATTTTCTAATTCGCATGGCTGTTCCGCGACCCGAAGCTTGAGTCATCGTTGTTTGATGTGCAGCGTGGCGCTTAGATAGCCGATATGCATTGGTTTATGTTTCATATCTAAAACAGATAGTTTGAGTTCCGTGATGTTGCCCCGCATTAACTTTCTGTACTGTAAGGTCGAAAACGATTCCGTTCTGCCGTCGTTGCACTTTTCCGTTTTCACCGGCACGGCTCTCAGCAGCGTGGAAGGACGTTCGTCTTGAATATTATCGGTCGTGCTTACCCGGTCGAGATGAACGAACACCTCGTGATAGACCACGAGGCTCAGTAATTTCGAAGCCTTGACGGTGTCTCAGGTTTGTACGTTGTTCGACGGAAACCCGAGCGTTCTCGCCAAGGGCCTACCGAATTGGATGGGTTTTTCCCCATTCGTGAACGTCAGCGTACCATTCGAATCGTTGAGTTTGAGGCTGGCTTCCATGGGTTTGAAAATTTTGTCATTGAGCATACACACGCTGTAATAACCGTCGGACAACTCGTGGTAATTTCCATCGATGAAGAGCTTGTTGTTCCCTTGACGTTGACTGATGTTCGTCCATCGCGTGTAGTAGAGATCGCAGAGAGTGACTTCGAGGTCCCCCGACGTGTTATCGATCGCGTGCAGCAGTAAAATGGGCTCACCGTTCGTGATTCCGGAGAGCGTGACGTACATGTTACACATATACGAGACACTGCGGTATACTTTTAATATGGCTACACCCAAGTACAAGCCGGGAATGATTTATCCTAAAAGCGATAATTTAAGTGCTACCGATCTCACGCACATGAAAATCGTGGTGGATGTGAAGGAGGGTTCCCACTTTCAAGCTCAATTTATCGATGTTTTTTCAAAGTATAGGCTGACGGTCACGAACGTCAAGGCAGTACATGCTTAGTTTCACAACCCGATGCAGTTCTGGCAATTCTTCAATTCAATTTCGCCGTGTGGTGCGTGACGACCGGGTGCGTCGTGACCGTGAACGACACTCGTCGTGATCCTCTGAGTCGGTCCGTGTTCTCGTTTCACGCATACTACCAGATCAGACACATCCTCAAAGAAATCACCACCCTCATTCCGCAGGACAAGGCGTGGAACGTGACGAACAATCCGGACGATCGTCGTGCATAGGAACGGATTTGCGACGAATTCGAAATCGATCTGAACACGGATTGGCATTTGCCAGGCGTAATCACGGTTTGGGTCCTATCATTCACAACATGCCCCTCGTAGAAGCCAGCAAGAAGTTGAAAGAATGTGGTGGTAAAACGTATGCGAAAGCTTACATCACAAGTTCAGAGTGGAGAGGTGATCTCATGGCTTTTGACGACAGCAAGGATTATCGCGCATGGAGGTATGAGCAGGGACCTGCGGACAATTGGAAACGATTTATGCTGGACACGTCGAAAGGGTTCACTCGCGCAGGTACCGTACGGTTAAATGATTCGATTCGAACGTACGTGTGGGCACTGTTGGATGCGCAGTCGCAAACGCATTCCGACATTGTGGGTCAAGGGACAGCCTACGATGCGCAGAAACAGTTCGTGACAAACATCGAGGATGCCATCGCCAGACCGGTGGATTTACCGAGTGCCATCCGGCGTTACCAGGACACGTTGCAATTCGCCTGGTCGAAAGTCGACTACGTGTTCGGCATGGGACTGTAATGGCTCCGAGCGACATGCGACTGAGGATCCACAAAGTGGTGGGCTCAACAACGAAATCATCATCGTGACCGACCCATCAGAAACTGGGCGTCGATCTTGATGTCAATGCTAGTCGAGTCCCATCCCCTCGAGTACCGGCGAAACGGGTATAGTAAAACCACCCCCGGAGCCGCCCCGCGTTTGACCCACACCACCACCATGCCCCACATCGGCGGTCGAACATCAGCAACACCTCGATCATAAAACGGCGCTCGTGATCGGTGGAATCGTGGTTGGGGTGTGCTTCATTTGGTTAAAGCTTCTTTAGCGGCGACGTACACCAGGCCGGCCACGCCGCCGCCGACTGCCCACAGGTTCTGGCCGAGCCACATGACTTTTTATCTACAAGAAGCCCAGCTACCAGGACACATTGCTGCCCAAGATGTTGGCCAGTCTTGCAAGGGTTTCCCCGAGCGATTTCAACTGTTTTTTTTATCCAGTCTTTGACGTCGCCACCTTTTTTGGGTGGTGCTGGTGCTGGTGTCATGCCGCTGCCGCCAGTCAGCGCTAAGACCAGGGTCGAGACGATGAAGCCCAAAGCCGTCAGAACGCTGGTGATGGTGATCCCGATCCCTTGTTCCCCGAACAACGTTCGGATCCTGTCGGCCTACGTGGTGTCCTCATTCAACAATCGGTCGATGGTTTCGCACACACGGCTGATCTGGGATCGAAGCTCGTCTCGGAAGGAGGACGCCACTTCCAATCAGATCGATCTTTCCTCTTCAAAGTTGCGCAATCTTTCTGCGATCCGACGTCGTCTGAACTCGTCCTTCGCTTCGTCGAGTTTGTTTTTTCCACGAGCGATATGCTCACCGATCGTCCAGTTTGGCTACGTTGTCCACGATTGATCCGCGAATGGTTTGCATGGCCTTGTCCAGCCCTCGCAGTTCATGAAAGGTAAATTCGAACCTGGGCAAGCGTTCGTTCTGGTACGTGGCCAATAGTTTTTCGACGTTGTTTGATGCGTCTTCAGCGCATTGTGGTTCGTCTCTCACATCATCTTGACCGACTGCACCCACCAAGGCATCGAGCTCGGCATTCGCTTCTCGTAAAGCCTTGTCAAACTTCCCGTTCATTTTTTGTCGATAGCTGGTTATATTTAATTTGTCACGGATAAAGTCGGCACCATGGCGACTAGCCAGTGTGGACAAAGCGAGAGGTTTTCTCGTACGGGAGTACATGAGATTGATGCCCGGAGCATCTTTCACTCGCAGTATCACTTTATGTTCGAGTTCGAACTTGGAAGGATCACGATAAAGAGGAGCTATACTTTCTTTTTGCTCCAGGGCATCGTAATAATCATTGACGGTCGTTTTAGCAGATACTCGCCCATGTTTCCTTGCGCGAACGAGGTCTCCTCATCGTCGAGCAAAGGGGTTCTATCATCTCCCGAATCGTCCATGGGAATATCGTTGCCAAAACCACCTTCAGCCATGGTTCTATTGAAGATATAAAAACATACTTTCAATATGAACGATGTCGTTGGCCTATGGACGAAAACGCGATCCTTTCCGAAACTTGAGAGAACCCCTGGCGGTCAAAGTCGTGCGTCAATCCGTGATGATTACCAATAATCCGAGCACGATCGATGAAAACCAAATGCTGTTGGGGGTAATCATGCTTCACTGCGGCATGGTATCTCAGTGGGCTAGCACTATAAAACCAGCGTAAGTATGGGCTAGTACAAGCAGCCGCACATACACATACACACGCATGCACGTCGTCATATGAGCTAAATATTCTCAAGCACGACGTTAAACCCAATTTCACCTCACCTCACCTTCATCCAATGGGGCTAATGTGTAGCCCTGAGCATGAGATCTTGGATATATTTGACTCGCACACGCTTTTCCGAAGAATGTGCTGTTTAACCTTGACTGGGGCAGAATACAATAAACATACATACAGTGATAAATTATTAATTTTTAGAGAGAACACGTGTACTGTGCCTTGTGTCCCTCTTGTTTTCAGGTGCACAATTGGCCTTCCTTTGCATGTGTTTGTTTCGGTACCAACGGTAACACCTGGTATCATTGCTATTTGATATTGTTTGTTTGTTGTTTAACTCCGCACTCAGCTATATTCCAGCTATATGGCGGCAGTCTGTAAATAATCGAATCTGAACCAGACAATCCAGTGATCAACAGCATGAGCACCGATGTACGCTGCAGGGATACAACGACATGTCAACCAAGTCTGCGAGCCTGACCACCTGATCCCGTTAGTCGCCTCTTACGACAAACATGAGTTACTGAAGATCAATTCTAACCCGGATCTTCACGGTTTATTTGATTATGTTTCAAAAAAGTATGCTTGTGATATTGTCGGAATCGCACGGTGGATTCTGCTTTCAGGAGATATTTCTTATGATTCTCGAAACGTTTTTGTCTCTTTTACTATTCAACAACGACAAAACACACCAGAATTTATAGTCCTCCTATATTGAAAGCACACCGAGCTGACCGTCAACATTTTCAGGGAAGAAATCCTTCATTTCTAATCTTGTGCTGTGGTTATTGTTTTATAGAGTTACGTGAACTTGACAGGGGTGGTGGGGTGGGGGTGGGTGGGGTGGGGGGTTAGTATATGAATATTTCAATACAAAATCAAACAGTGAGATTTGCAAGCTTTATTGTCACGAGTCTGTGCGGCAGCAGGTGACATAGGCCGTGGCCCCCATCTCCCCGTACAGTCTCTCAGCTCCGTTCACTGCCTGGCACTGGTCTGCGTTACCTGTATCAATAGATATACCTTAGAATAGGTTCATGTTGGTACCACAAACCAAGATGAATGAGTTTAGTTTTACGCCGCACTCAGCAATATTCCAGCTATATGACGGCGATCTGTAAATAATTGAGTCTGGACCAGATAATCCAGTGATCAACAGCATTAGCATCCATCTACGTATTTGGGATGCGATGACATGTGTCAACCAAGTCAGCAAGCCTGACCACCCGATCCCGATAGTCGCCTCATACGACAAGCATGGCTTACAGAAAATCAATTCTAACCCTTATCTTCACGAGTCACCACAACAATAACACACAGACCTAAGATTTTGCGATATTAATCTTCAGAGTGAAATATTATTTGTCCTCCTTAAGTATATTTGGAACATTAAATGTACGTAATATTATGAACATGTAAATGTATCTTCCGATTTAATGCGTATGAATGTATCATGTGTATATATTTATACTCTGCATATAAATATTCCTCCTTGAGTAATTATAAAAATGTATTTTGATAAACTGGTATCAATATTATATATATATTAAATATAATTATATTGTGTGAAAGGCTATTGGTCCTTGAGATATACAGTATAGCGTCCGCGTTGAAACCTATAAGTTCACTGTCAACCAACTTCTTTATGAGACATATATGTAACAAAAATAATTAATGTTTACTAGATTCTAAACTTAATAGAATGATTTCAATAAGGTAGGGATAAAAGGAGCATTTTCAAAACCACTAAATAATATTGTTCAATGAGGTGTACCTCTAATATAGGCCCCGCTCAGTTTAGCATCCTCCGAGTAGGCTGAGCATCCTACGAGCTGCCAGCCCTGGTCACATGACACGGACGTTGTGTCCCCCAACTTGTCACCAGAGGGCTGGGAGATCTTCACCTGGCACGTGAGATGGGGACCCGAGCAACACACGGCAGAGGACTGCAGCCCTGTAGCAGTGAGAGAGAATTCTCCCGGGGTCATGAACATTAATTGTAGAGTGAGTGAGTGAGTAAATGGTGTCACGGCGCTTATATTAAGACAGACACCACAAATGGACTTCACACAATGTTACCATGTGGGGAATCGAACCCGGGTCTTCAACGTGGCGAGCGAACGCTTTAACCACAAGCTTCCCTGACCGCCGTGTTCATTGTAGAATGTGTACATACATGTGAAGAATTAATTGATTTGGTTAAATCTTACATATATGTAACACTGAGTACACGTATTCATAATTGATGTACTTCTATGCCATATGGTAAATATAAAGTGGTTGTCAAACACTTGTGGCAAACTTACCTCCTTTGTTTTCAAAGTTCTGAGCAATGCACGAATGTGCTGATGGGAAAGTTCCGTCAGAGAGTCGGAAGAATGTGTGTGCAGCACAACCTGATGGGGAAGAAGAAGAAATATAAGCCTTGCAGTCTGAACCTGTAGCTCCAGATGAAAATGCAACTACGATTCCTGGTCAAATAAACCAATCTTAGTCGGTAATTGCATTTCCCGTTTCTAAAGCAAGATCCTTGAGCTCACTTCAAAGGTGACACCATTGATCCTCTGGATTTTTGCTGTGCAACTTTCAGGGTTATTTCTGTACGTTTATCTCTAATGGGCATAGATAAGGCGTTTCGCATGAATCGAACTATACATGGTAGTCACTCGCGACGTCTTACCCACTGCCTCTGATAGTAAGAATCAGGACATTGGCCGTGTTTTACAATATGTACATCGCTTAAGATACGACTCGTGTTACTGTCTGCCTTGAATTCAGACCATGGCAACACTCCTGCCAGGTTTTATTGGTAATTACAGAATGAGATTGCTCTTCACGTGAGGTCAGATGTACGTACATTTCAAGGATTGGAGTAGATCTGTTGAGGATAGTCGGTTATTGAATGTCTATCCACAGCAAACTTCACATCGTTTATATTTGGGATTGTACTTTCTCAGTAAAGTTCAGATTCCAATACCTTTTGAGGTTGCATAATTTAATCGTTAACACACAACGTCAGACAAGTGCCAACTGGGCACTTTCTGAAAGGCATTGTGTATTCACCCTATGAGTGTATTTCCCAGGGTGTTATGACATTTAGATGTATCACCTGTAGCGTACATGTTGTTTTGACATCTAGTCTCAATTCTCTGGCCAAGAAGATCCTGTGAAGGACCGGAAGTCCGGTAGTCACACACGAGACCTGTCAGCATGCAACATCTCGCCACTGCCTGGATAGCTGAAACAGAAGTAACCTGCTTATGGAGATCGCAAACTAGATATAAGATGACGCCATTTCAGTACATACTTGAGAAGGGGACACGGTTGGATTTCGGGTCAGAGCAGGTCCCAAGTATCTGATAGTAATAGTAATTGAAATCAGTGCTATATCAATATTTCGTGAACTTTGAGAATTTCAACACAGGTGTGTAAGATGGTCGACAGTGTATTAAACACGGTTATGGTGATTTGTTTGTTGACAAGTCAGTGTGTTGTGTGATTTCCCTTTGAAAGGGGCGGTTGGGTAGCCTAATGGTTAAAGCGTTCGCTCGTCACGCCAAAGACGTGGGTATAATGTGTGAAGCCTATTTCTGGTGCCCGCGCCGTAATATTGCTGGAATATTGGCATAAGCGGCGTAAAAATAAACTCACTCACTCACTCCCTTTGAAAGGACGTCTCATAGAACACATGACGAAGTTTTTTGTTGGCTGTAAAGAAAGGTTCGACCAGACAATATAGTGATTGACATTATATGAACATCGAATTTGGATGCGATTGCATGCAGCCATCCAGGCCAAGCTCTAAAACAAGCCCAGGGGCTCCTTTCACGAAACAACACTTACTAAGGTTTACCTTAACTCCCATTCTTTAACATTGCACTAAGGTTACCTTAGTGACTTACGATCACCTCAGTGCTTTGTAAAAGGAGGCCCTGGTTTCTAGGTAGGTATATTCTGGGCCAGATTCCCCATGTATAACTTTCGCATAATGTTAACGCCACGCACCAGCCTCCTTCAGATAATGACATCAAAACCGAGTTCCATATTACTGTTAGGTACCAAACCATATTAATTGTAAGAAAAGCAAGATTTAAGGATGTGAACTTCTTTATTGTGAATAACACGACGTTTCGGAGTGTATGCTTACGTCGTCTTTTGTAAGTTCACAGAGATCAGATATAGATACCTAGTCCCTCGTCATTGCCAATAAGAGGTGATTATCATTAACGAAGTATAGTCAGGTCAATAATAGTATCAGAAGTTCTACACTTCTGTTTCTTCAGCTTGACTCACGGGCTGTAGGGGATCCTCCTTCATAGGCACTGCATGTTGGTCCAGTGTTTAAGGATATTTTCTCCCCATCAGTTTGATCACGACTGTCCTTCAATAAGAAATACGTGCATGAACAACCTGCATAAGACAATGACAGATGCAACTATACCGTTTACACTTGGTAAATACTAGATGGGACCAAATAGTGAGTATGTTTTTACCCCGCAATATTCCAACAACATCACGGTAGGGGACACCAGAAATGGACTTCACACAACATACTAATGTGGGGAATCGAACCCGGTTCTTCGGCGTGACGAACGAACGCCTTAACAACTAGGCTACCCCACCGCCTCCGGGACCAAATAGGACCAAATACATTCATATAATTAAGAAACTTATACTTGACGTTCTGCAAGGATCTACCCACGTGTAATCTGCTCATATTTCTCACCTTGACCTTCCCTGAACATCCGGTGAGGACGTATCCGGAAGGACATCCCACTTCCGCCATCTTGTCATCCGCGACTTCCGAAAATCCTGAGTATCTGGTGATACATGTAAGCCGATTGGATGAGCCGGACGCCATGTGACCAATTGTTCGTTCGTTGATGTGTGTCACAGGATGGGGTACTGAATGATGGTAATCCAGAGGGGAAGGAGCCGTGGGGATGTTGATGATATCTGTGAAATAACCAAATTATGGTAGTCTGGCAGGGTATGAAATACGTTAATAATCTCACTATAAAGTATTTAGTTTATTCAGTGTGTGGTGAGAGTCATTGATAACAGCGGAACATAAACAAACTCACTGTTGACGTTGGTGATCTGGATATTAACTTGTTTGCTCTGTTTCCCCAGGGTAAAAGTCTGCTGCATAACCGGGTTGCCATGGTATTTGACGATGACCCTGTAGTCACCATGGAAACCTCTGACATTAAACTGTGTCCCTGATGACATTTTGTGTGTGACGTGTGTACTCCATTCCTTGTAGAGGAGGTCGATGTATCTCTTTCCTGCTGCGTTAATCTGGAACACGCCTTAATCTAATCATGACCTTGGAACATTTTCGATTTCGACCCGACCCCTAAAACTTCACACCCGTGAAGATCCGGGTTAGAATTGATCTTCAGTAACCCATGCTTGTCGTAAGAGGCGACGAACGGGATCGGGTGGTCAGGCTTGCTGACTTGGTTGACACATGATGTCGTATCCCAATTGCGTAGATCGATGCTCATTCTGCTGATCACTGGATTGTCTGGTCCAGACTTGATTATTTCCAGACCGCCGCCGTATACTGGAATACTGCTGAGTGCGGCGTAAAACTAAACTCACTCACTCACTAAAGCTTACATTAAGCTTACATTTGAAATTCTAACGCGATTACATTGCATTTTACTCATTGAAATATCACAGATACAGACAGCAACACATAAAGAAAGCAGTCATAAACAAAAAGTAAATTCAGATGTTTATAAAACTTACATGGAACTGGGGCCCGTTAACAAGAGCTGCATCCGGGCCTCTCCAGTGATGTACATCCCAGAATCCCCAGAGTATGATTCCCTCAACACCAGGGTGACTGAACAGCATGCGCAGTGCCGTGTCGTACCAGTTAGCTCGGGTGTTGTCGTCACTGGCCACAACATCCAACTCGGTGACCCACAGAGGCAGGCCAGTCGTGGCCAGCATGTCCAGGCGTCTCTGAATTATTGCCCAGATATCTGTATAATACTCGGTGAAGCGGAAAAAAGCGAAGCACAAAAAATATTTATGAACAAACATAGATTGAACACTGACATGAATTAAAACTGTAACTCTAATTGCAGTAACTGACAACATGAGCATCGACCACCCAACTAGGACACGATGACATGTAGCAACCAAATCAGCAAGCCTGACCACCCGATCCTGCTAGACGCCTCTCATGCAAAGCATGGGTTACTGATAGACAGCTGTAACCGTTAATTCAAGCTTAGTTCAGGAATGTGTGATCACCGCATTGAGTAAGGGAATGTTTACGAAAATCACATGCTCTACCTGTTGAATAGAAACTAATGTTGAAATCCGATGTGAAGGTCATGCCATTAGCACCACTTCCAAGGTTATATTGAAATGTATTGCATATTTCTGAATGTATTTTCCAGCCAAGGAGTCTTACGAAAAACATTTACAACAAACTCGTGGGACAATACCGTAAGGTTCGCTTTCATTTTGCTTACAGGCATAAATATGCATATGCTTCTCCGACATATCTTATAGTTACATAGTGCGAACACAGTGACTGTTGGCTCACATGCAGAGTGTGGTGTTTTGTCAGTCAATGGCCTGATTACCTGGACTATCCTACAATGGTGAAACATGTTCTGCCTACCTTGATGAGTGTTGGCTCAGATGCAGTGTGTGGTGTTTTGTCAGTCAATGGCCTGATTACCTGGACTATCCTATAATGGTAAAACATGTTCTGCCTACCTTGATGAGTGTTGGCTCACATGCAGAGTGTGGTGCTTTGTCAGTCAATGGCCTGATTACCTGGACTATCCTATAATGGTTCAAATGTTCTGCCTACCTTGATGAGTGTTGGGTCAGGAGCCTTGTACGGCGTGAAGTGACTCTGCACACCTAATCCATACACGCCTACATTGGCCGACTTGAACTCCCTTGCCTGGTCCACGTATGCCTGGAGAGATCACACAGCAAATGAACCTGTACCTAACAGAACACTTCAAAGTGTCACTATTTTCCATTCTGATGAAATAATAACAATATAAACCCTAAATTTGCCTGCAGGTGGGCAGAAACAAAATATCATATCCAGGAAACTGTTGTGTAAGAGACTATGTGCTTCCCATTTGGCGGACGTGTCATCCGAAACGAGGGTTTCGAAAGCAGTTAATTATTGCAGACATAATGATAATAATCTATGTGGGATAACCATATTTCTACATTCTCACCGATGTGGATGTGCCTCTCGCCACAACATTGAAGTCATTGAGGAAGAGTTTGACACTGGGATCTGCCTGGTGCAGCTTGGCAAAGATCTTATGAGAGAAGAATTTGTCTCCAGTTTGTTCCTCGAACCAGTGTCCATGGAGAAGCTCGTTGTTGACATCCCAGTGCTTCAACCTTTGACGAAAAGCATCTTTCAATAGATGTGATTTGTTTCTCGCAGGAAAAAGAAAAATGTCCATCGAGCCGAAATTTCGTTTGAAATGGTTTTCTTTTATTTGTTGTTTAACGTCTCACTCAGCAATATTCCAGCTATGTCTCGGCAGTCGGTAAATAATTGAGTCTGGACCAGACAATCCAGTGATCAACAGCATGAGCATCGACCTAGGCAACTTGGTTAAGATGATATGTTTCAAACAAGTCAGCGAAACTGATCACCCGATCATGTTAGTAACCCATGTAAACTATCCGATTGTGACTTACTTCCCCTTTGTGTCCTTGACAATGTACTGTATCCTTTCATCCACGGCCTGCTTCACCTGGTCCGGACTCAGAGCCTGTACCCACGTTGGTGTGTGGCGAGAATTTCCCCAGAATATGTTGTGACCTCGTACAGATATTCTAACGGCAAGTCAAATATATACACACTTTATTAGACCTATAGACGACAGAGCTATACGACATAACTGCCTTTTCTGAACTTTGAATGCCTTGTTTTGGGGATTGGAATGCCTTGTTTTGGGGATTAGAAACATTTGCCAAGACTTGACAGCAAATCAGTGAGTGAGTAAGTATGCTTTTACATCGCTTTTAGCAATATTGTGAAAATACCTCCTCTCCTTTCCCTGTTTCCACGAAACCGGGGATAAATGGAGAATACCATATCGCACAAGTTCATTGCAATACAGTGAATGGATTTAGTTTCATGCCACTTTTAGCAATTTTCTAGCAATATCAGGACGGGACACCAGTAAGGGGCGTCACACATTGTACCCATTAGGGGAATCGAGCACGGGTCTTCGGTGTGGCGAGCGATCGTTTTAACCATTAGGCTACCCACCACCACGTAATATCAATGGCCCTGTTGAATAGGAATCTCGTCACCACAAGCGATGTACAAATAAATGAATTTATGAATGCCCAAGGGAACAATTATTCACAAAAAACTCTGCCCCAGACTCGCCATTAAATACAAACCGGTAAATATTATTGGAACTCTGTCTCGTGATATTTAAATCAATACTATTAGTCAACTGTTTGACTCAAACACAAAAGATAATATAATAACCTCTGCTCGAAAGAAATTTAGCAAGTCCAGATTCCCTTAGCCGGGGATTGTTCTGGGCACCTTTTGTATTTCTTATATTATTTATTGTAGATATTATGTTTTTAAATATATGAGAACTTTAATTCTGGGACTAAATGTCTGACCAGGTCAGCTGAATTGAGAAACATATCTACTGTTTGACACTGTATATACGTTAGCTATTTCTACCAATTCTCAGGTATGAGCAGGTTGTAAAATACCATGGTCATGACATTTACATATGAAACTTTCAGCGGAAATAGTTAGCCTTGCATTTTTTTTAATTCCATTTTATGTTACAATTTCCATTACAGCAGTTTCGGGTTCTCGAAGTAAAAGTATTTTAAGTGTACAGTGAATAATGTTGATATGAATACATAGTATGTACATTACCTCTTATATACAGTACACTTACATACAAAGTACATATACAGTCAGTCAGTTATAGGATTTCTAAAAAGTAAATGGAAGGATGGCCAGAAAGATTGAAAACTTGCATAATTACAATTAGAAAACGCAATGAACTTTGAAATTTCATAATGTTCTACTATTTCTTTTTGAAACCATATAAAATGGGGTTTTACTGGTTTCGTATGACATTATACAACATATATTTGGTTATTATTATGTGTATTAATAGTGTATTTACCTTTAAATCCAAATAACATATTTTCTTCACTGAAATGAATTTTAAATTCTATGTATCCTTCAATCCATTCAGTAAATTTTGTCCAAATATCTATGGTATATTGACAGTTACAAATATCTATGGTATATTGACAGTTACAAATATCTATGGTATATTGACAGTTACAAATATCTATGGTATATTGACAGTTACAAATATCTATGGTATATTGACAGTTACAAATATCTATAAAGCACATGTGCATGTTTCAGCTGGTTCATTACACAATGACTGACTGACTGAGTTTGGTTTTACGCCGCTTTTAGCAATATTCCAGCAACATCACGGCGGGGGACACCAGAAATGGGCTTCACACATTGTGCCCATGTGGGGATTCGAACCCGGGTCTTCGGCGTGACGAGCCAACGCTTTAACCATTAGGCTACCCCACCGCCCCTCATTACACAATGAACATGCTGGTGACTTGACATAACCAATTATATATAAATAACAATTGGTGCTGGGAATATTATATAAAATCTTAAATTGAAACCATCTTAAGTCACTGCTTTGTGTACATCATTTTGCCATCAAACTATAATTTATCCATTCTGTTTAAGTAATGTGTTTATTAAGATAAAGCTCCCATTTTTCTATAGCCTTTCAGGTTTGCAAATTTAGGGTTTTGCAAAATTTCATAGTATACTTTACTACCTGAATTACTTTTGGATTTTAGAAATATTATAAGGTAATATTAGTTTAAGCCTTGCATAAATACATGTAAATAGTATCGATGATATCATTAATTCAACAGTTACTATCATAATCACATACTAAATCGTACCCATAATATTACCGAGTCAGCAATCCTAGCAGACCTACCCATGCTGATGAAGCAGATCCAGTGTCTTTGTAGCATTACTGTAGTCCGGGTCGTGCTGGAAAAAAGGAAGGGCAGAATAATTACAATATGCTGGTGTTAATATCCGTGATATTAGCCATCGTTCGTCACTATTTTCACTTGAATTGTGTTCGAATCCTGTATAAATAATACACTGCTTATAAAGTTCATAACCTCACACGCAATGTTTTCTCGAAGGATTGTATTAAAATACTATACCTTCCGGGTATCCATTCCCTGCTGGGTGAAGAGGGGCGTATTTCGAACAAGGTCACATGCCACAAGGAGACTTGTGCCAAATGTGCTTCTGTGAGAGGCAAGGGTAGGCACAGGAAGCTCTCTACGTTTCTTACCTTCACCTTATTTGTAGCCTGTGCGTTTTACATAGGACTAAGTGTCCAGAGAATCCAGTGATTATTGGTGACAATAAACCAAGCCGCCTAGGCTGACAACCCCACCCCCCTCAACACACACCTTTGAGCCGCAACATACAAAAGGCGTACTTTTGGCGGCGTCAGGCTATAAATACATATTTATTTCAGGCAAACTGTTTGAATGGCGAGGTAGGACATGCTTATACGTTTTATTTGTTTGTTGTTTTTGTTGTTTAACGCCGCACTTAGCAATATCAAGCTTTATGACATCGGTCCGTAAGTAGCTGAATCTGGACCAGACAATCCTACGACTGATATTTTGAACTTGGGTAATAGCCTTTTCTCGAACACATGGTGTCATCATCCATTTTAAGTGTCCAATCCATATCACAGATATTTCCCCTTTACACCATAAGGAATGTGTTTCTCCGGTAGCGAAGACAGTTTATTCTTCTGTACTAAATAGGGACGTGGTAGGAAAGCTTACCCGTGGTTGATGGTCCTGAACAAAAGGAACGTAAGAACGTGGTTGAAAAGCTTACTCGTGGTGGGTGATTCTGGAACCAGTAGTAGTCGTTCTCGGTGGCCCAGTTGAACATGTAGAAGAACAAGTCATCGTAGTGGGGGTAAGTAAACATCTCATGATATCGTGTCTGGGATCCAAACGGGAAGCTGTGTTTCACCAAGTCCACCTTGAATGAGAGTACATCAATATACCTGCCCAACCTAGTAAACCATTCGACAATCTTAAAGACATTATTTCAGTATCAATAATATTTTTGAAAATGCCATTTGCTTGCAAGAAATGACAGAACTATGTCACCAAGGATATATCAGTTCAAGGGAAATTAATAAACTTTTCTTTTTTTACCTCAGGCCATTACTACGTAACGCAAAATGTGTACTTTATCGAAGGTCGGCGTCTTTATCCTTTAGCCAAGCATCTAAGTATACTATAAAGCTTGAAATTGTTATGAAATATAAGGCTTTGGACTTTCATATTAAAAATGCTGGGGTGAAATTCGCTCGTCTATTTATCCTCATGACATACGTATATATGTACTATGTACATGTATGTCTATTTACCTGAATGTCAAGGTCAGCGTTGGACACACCTGACGGAGTTTGGATGCTGTAATAGACATTTACACCATTGATATTCTGTTGATATATTTGACTTTAAAGAAATGTCAGAGTTCAAAAGAAAGTCACTCCTTTTACGTCTTTAACAGCACATTGTCCCCGAGATAAAGAAATGGGGTTCATTTATTGTATGCGGGCCTTCTGCCACGATGCTACACCAACGTATGAACCAATACACAAATACCTGCAATAAATGCCAAACAGTTAAAATGATGGCAACATTTATGAATCCCATCAAAATGATCGTTTTGTACCAATTGTGATATGATGATCTTCTGATCTTTCGTTGAAAAATAGTGAGACAGTGTGATGATCGATGTCATGTTTTGTTATCTCAGACAATGTATGATACATAAAATGTGACACGTTATGTTGATACTGCCTAGTGTCATCCCTAGATCACAGTGATTCATCTTGGTTTAAGGTGTAAATATCATGAACCATGAACTAGGACCAGTGGTCTTCCAGAATTTAACTGTTTAGTCTGTATGTAGGGTATCGGATGTCAGCCTCGTCTATCTACCACCTTGTACATGCATACACACGCATGCACGTCGTCATATGAGCGAAATATTCTCCAGCACGGCGTTAAACCCAATTTCACCTCACCTCACCTTGTACATGCCATATGCAGTAGATATGTGTCGTCATCACCGCCAATGATGGACACACAAGCCTCAACTAGTCATATTGCTATTCGCCCCCCAAAATCTGGCTTCCGAAACATTCCACACCATGTGCGTTTAAGCCTGAAAATACTTAAGTATCGTCCTCAGATGTCCTTTACAACGTTTTATAGCACAGCTTTTGGTATCCTTTTATGGTGTTCAGCATATTTAGAATGTTGTAGGATTTGACGTTCAGTTATCTCTCTTAACCTTTTAACTTTTACATTCAAATGATCCTGCGCAAAACTATTTGACAAACAGGATCCCGTACTTAAAGTGTATGTTGTTCTTTCTGAGCTGGTCAATCCGCTTGTCCGCCTCCGACTTCCAGTTATTGTCCTCGGGTATTTCCGTGAGTGACATGTCATCCACCAAGTAGTTGATGGTTTTGTCTGGCCCGTACACTCTCAGTTCTATGGTCTTGTGATCTGAACAAGAACAAGAATCACATCAGCAGAACCCGTGAAGGTCCGGGTTAGAACTGATCTTCAGCAACCAATTCTTGTCGTAAGACGCGACTAACGGAATCGGATGGTCAGGCTCGCTGACTTGGATGACACATGTCAACGTATACCAATTGCGTAGATCGCTAAAATCAATGGATTGTCTGGTCCAGACTCAATTATTTACAGACCGCCGTCATAAACCGCTGACTGTGGTGTTAAGCAACAAAGAAACAAACAAAAATAACATCAACGGACGATGAGTAAAGTACTTCTAATGACACCGTTTTATGCAGAGAATAAGCTCTTGGGCTAGAGAACAAAATGGAGGACAGTGTCTGTATGATGACGTCCATCATAACTGGTTACTGTATACTACATAAAACATGTTGTTAATTGTATTGTTAACAGCATCAATACATTACACAAGCAATACTCTTACAAATCGCGACATTATTATTACCATCATCAAACGTGTCACATTTCTTAGGGGCTTGATTATGGGTTGGCTTTTCATCATTTCTTCCCAGCAGTTATGCTGGTCGTAAGAACCGACTAAATGGTTCTGATGGTCGCCCATGGTGACGAGTCTGATAGTTTGTCATCGTACTCTAGCGGAGTGGATTATTATTCACAATGTCAATCACTGGATTGTCTGGTTCATTATATAGGAGGCGGTGGGGTAGCGTATTGGTTAAAGCGTTCTTTTGTCACGCCAAAGACCCGGGTTCGATTCCCCACATGGGTACAATATGTGAAGCCCATTTCTGGTGTCTCCCGCCGTGATATAGCTGGAATATTGCTAAAAGCGGCGTAAAAATACACTCACTCACTCATTATATAGACTGCTGTCCTGTACCTGCAATTGTGCTGAATCATACCGTGAAAAGACGAACACACAAACCTGTCTTCTGGAAGATGAAGTAGCCGGAGATTGTTGTCCACCCCTTGTTGATGTAGATGGCGTTGTTATCCACTACGTCAACATAGCTATGAGAACCTGGGAGAGACGTATTCTTCTCAGTGAATATATCGTTACCAAAGGAATTGTACCTTGAAACGTTTCCTTTAGTAATATATATATTTTAAAAACTACCCCATATGATATCAGTTATGGGATAAATCAAAGTGGGAGTTCATCACATGTCAGCAGATCCTGACACGGCTACGGAACGTAACGCATTGTTACTTGCGGAGCTTCAGACCTACGTAACAACCAAACAGTCAGTCATCATCGCACGTTGTAGTCCACTTTAAATTAACCATTACTATTTGCTATAGTCATAGACAATTGGGAACATAAGGCATTATGTACAGCAAGGTGAACTGTGAATACCACATGGGTTATTAATCAAGGTCATGGCTTGGTACAGCCTTGATACACGTTTAGAATACATTGCTCTGTTATCTCAAGGATATTACATTCGCATAAGGTACAGCACTTCCATTGGACTCCACATATGTTCATGTTTAGGTGAGGTGAAATTGGGTTTTACGTCGTGCTTGAGAATATTTCGCTCATATGATGACGTGCATGCATGCGGCTGCTTGTACCAGACTTAAGCTGGTTTTATAGTGCTAGCCCACTGAGGTACCATGCCGCAGTGAAGCATGAATACCCCACTCAGACACATTATACTGACTCCGAGCCGACCACAGTCCTTGTTGTACCCATTGATGCCTAGCGCCAGGCAGGGACCAACAAGTACCATATTTTAACGTCTTTTTGGTATGACGCGGTCAGGGATCGAACCCGCGACCTTCTGCTCTCCGGGCGGACGCTCTAACCACTACACCACGGAGGCGGTCTCATGTTTTGGACGTGTAGATGAAATATTTAAGGTTTTCATGCAATAGTGACTTCGATAGTTGACAGAAAAGACGACTCCCCAATGCTTATTTATGTGGAGATATTTTGCTATTTCAAGTTACCATTATGATGCTGGATATCCATTAAGATGGCAAACTTCTGAAACATCTTTCCAGTGACCTCGTTCAGCTGTTTTACACGGGCCTGGACGAAGTAACGAGTGTTGAGCTGGAGGGTAACCACCTGTCCTGGGCCCGCCCATGTAGCAGTTCTAGGTAAAAGAGTGAGTGAGTATGGTTTTACGCCACTTTTAGCGATATTCCAGCAATATTACGGTGGGGGACTTAAGAAATGGGCTTCACACATTGTACCCATGTGGATAATCGAACCCGGGTCATCGGCGTGACGAGCGAACAGAGTAACATGAGTGAGTGAGGGTGTAATATTTCTCTAATTTCACGGTGTGTCAGTTAAATGTGGGAGGATAACCCAAAGTGATGCAGGCGTTGATCGCTTTGATGAAATACACGAACATTAGCACTGATGCCGTGCCGACAAATCGGAAACAATCAGGTAGAATCCGAGATTCAAATTCATGGTCACAGGTTCCTGGATATGCTATACGATGCAGCTTACAGGGAGAATTGTATACTTACCCAACCCCAGCCTGACGCTATATTGTTATAATATATGAGGGGCGATGGGGAAGCCTAATAGTTAAAGTTGTACTCCCAACACGGGTACAATGTGTGAAGCCCATTTCTAGTGTCCCTCGCCGTGATATTGCTGGAATATAGCTAAATGCGGCGTAAAACCATATTCAGTCACTACAATTATAAGATGTGAAGGTCATGATTAGAGTGAGTCAGTGAGTTTACTTTTACGCCGCACTCAGCAATATTCCAGCTATTTGGCGGCGGTCTGTAAATAATCGAGTCTGGACCAAACAATCCAGTGATCAACAGCATGAGCATCGATCTGCGCAATTGGGAACCGATGACATGTGTCAACCAAGTCAGCAAACCTGACCACCCGATCCCGTTAGTCGCCTCTTACCACTAGCATAGTCGCCTTTTGTGGCAAGCATGGGTTGCTGAAGACCTGTTCTACCCCGGATCTTCACGGGTCGTAATGGTTAGACCCACCTAGATGATGAGTATTGCCCTTACCGTGAAGACACTTCCACCGAATGCTTTCCTTCTACACGATCAGTGGAAGACGTCATGTGACATCCTCTGGCCACCCAACTAGAGTGGGGGTCGGGACTCTCAAATCCAGGGTCTTTGAACATTTCCGCCGCACCCCCCTACCAGAGGCAGGAAGTACCAAAGTCCCAACACTGGCAGTAAAACACGTTTGGACATCGTATGTGTCTTCAGGTGAATGTTGTCCCATGATGTACACTGCAGTACTGGCCTGGACTGTGTGTCGGAAACATCTGCTTGCTGATAAGATAACACACATTATATCCTGAACAGTGCGTATTTGAATAAACGTCTTCAGAGGATATCGTGAAACGTCATCAACAAAATCATGAGTATACCTCTGAAAATAGCCTCAGTACATTACTCAGTTGTGTGTGCATGGCTACATGAGGAGTAGGTATGGTGTTACGCCGCGTTTGGCGGCCGTCCCAGGCAAGAGGTTTTAAAAGTTACATCCAACACCCCAACCACTTCTCCCCTACAAGTAAAATCACCAGTGAAGATCCGGGTTAACATTTCTCCTCCTCAACCCAATTACAAGGATATTTAATAGTCACATACATCCGAGTGGAGTGGAGTGAGTTTAGTTTTACGCCACACTCAGCAATATTCCAGCTATATGGCGGCGGTCTGTACATAACAGAGTCATCAACAGCATGAACACCGATCTAAGCAATTAGGATACGATGACATGTGACAACAAAGTCAGCGAGTCTAACAACCCGATCCCGTTAGTCGCCTCTTAGGACAAGCATGGGTTACTGAAGATCAATGCTAACCCGGATCTTCACGGAATAGATTCAGAACAAAAAAAGGAACAAAGTAACTACTCACCAAAATCTTCAGTACCCTAGAATCACCACCATAACTCTCTCTCGCTGTTCAGGCGTACCACTTGCGTATTGAGGGATTAACACAGCACTGGGGTTTTATGTCAGATTACAATGTACACATATTGTCAATGTAATAATACTGCAGTATACGCAATGTATTTCAAACATCCAGAATTCAAGACACACCGTATGACAAACACTGCCAATGCCATTTCCTCATGTTTGGACTATAGAGTATGTAAATAATCATTTGCGTCACATTCAAACCCTATCTGAAGAAGTTGCGGTATCGTCGTTTCTGTTTCCCTTAATATGTGTTGCCTCATCTTGATGTTTCTTTAATAATGCATTTCGACAAACAATATGTATAACGCGTGAAACACAACAGATGTATTAGGAGTTTAAGCCCCAAGATGGGATTCAGATAATAATATATTAATAATGGCTATTCATAAAGCGACTGTTTCCACACACTTGTGCATGCTCATAGCACCAACGTTTTGTTACCCCGGATAACCCAAGCTGCCTGTAAGGCACTAGAAGGTAAAAATCAGACATATGTCTTATCCCACCGGGTACCCATTCACTGCTAGGTGAACAGAGGCAATTTCATGAACAAACTCACTTGCCCAAGGTGAGACCACATGTGTCACGTTTGCTTCGTTGTGGGTCAGGAAAAAAGTCCTAGAAACTCTCAGGAGTCAAGCTGCCAAACACGGTCACCCATCCAAGGACTGTCCGTAACCAGGACCGCCTCCGTGGTGTTGTGGTTAGAGCGTCTGCCCGGAGAGCGGAAGGTCGCGGGTTCGATCCCCGACCGCGTCATACCAAAAGACGTTAAAATATGGTACTTGTTGGTCTCTGCCAGGCGCTCGGCATTAATGGGTACAACAAGGACTGGTCGGCTCGGAGTCAGTATAATGTGTCTGAGTGGGGTATTCATGCTTCACTGCGGCATGGTATCTCAGTGGGCTAGCACTATAAAACCAGCTTCAGTCTGGGCTAGTACAAGCAGCCGCACATACACATACACACGCATGCACGTCGTCATATGAGCGAAATATTCTCAAGCACGACGTTAAACCCAATTTCAGCTCACCTCACCTCCGTAACCAGCTTAACTTCAACTGACTTGTGACCTGGGCTCTATGCACAAGACCACACACCACCACAATGAAGCCAGATTGTAAAACATTTGTTTTATCTATGTGCGTATCCATGTCACACACACTGAAAACATGTACACACGTGGTTGAATATGACGAACATCACCCGAATGGTACTGAGACCTGTGCGGGAAATTACATCTTTACCCTTAATCATCAATATTGAAGCAATGGACGTACATTACAGTATTCAAGGGATAGATTTAACTTTCCTTTTTAGAAATATTATGAAATACTAGAACACATGCACGTTTTTGCAATGGGCATGTCTTAAATCTCACATGCTAGTACTTTTATCTTTGAATGATATTGTTCCCCTGAATAAAAATACATTTCCCTGTTTCGATTTTGTTTTGTTTAAATATACGAAGACTAATAAAATATGTCCTTCGATGACAGCTTTTATAAAGTTAACACTATATTGTTAATAAGAACGGATAACTATATATTATGATGAACAAATTCTTTATAGCAGTGAGAGCGACATTTCGATGTAGGTTCTAACACCGTTATCAAGCAAGTGATGAGGTATCACGTCGCTCTCACTGCAATAGAGTGAGTGAGTGAGTTTAGTTTTACGCCGCACTCCGCAGTATCCCAGTGATATGTGGGGGTAAATAATCGAGTCTGGACTAAACAATCCGGGGATCAACACCATGAGCACCGATCTAAGCAATCGGGATACAATGACATGTGTCAGCGAGACTGACCACCCGTTCCCGTTAGTCGGTTCTTACGACAAGCATGAGTTACTGAAGACCAATTCTAACCCGGGTCTTCACGGGTCCACTGCAGTAGAAGTTGTTCATCATATATTGTTATCCGTCTTTGCTGCTCCAACTTCTAAATGCGCCTCAAGGAAGTTATGTTTAGTTTGACTTTCTGTCGTCACGATATGGAGGATATATACTAAACGCCAAAAGAAACGTTACCCTCCTACCTTTATGAATTACTTCAAAACTATCAAAGATATGTTATAAGGTATTAGTTTACAAGAAAGCTTAACAACACAGCTTTATGCAAATGACGAAAACAAATTCTCAAACGCATTCATATTCAGGCGAAATGCATCTTTTTCAGAAGAGTTAAATTGTTCTATTTTCGTCCACGCCGAAATAAACCAATAACAGTGAGTTAGATGTCCAAAAGAAAGGTTGAAATAAAATTCTGTTTAAACTAATACCTTTTAACATATCTTTGATAGTTTTTAAGTAATTCATAAAGGTAGGAGGGTAACGCATCTTTTGGCGTTTAGTGTACATGAAACAGTTAGCCAGATATAGCCGACATCTACATGAACTGAGTAAGCCGCCGTGTACACTGGGTGTAAAACAAGATCGCATGACACAGCCCAATACGAGTCGGGATTGCGCCGCGAACAGTTTTTTTCATTCAATTTCTATGTACAGCAAGCCCGCTGAAGAAATGAATTAGTCAATGACCAGGTCTTCAGTGTCGCGTCTTTAGTATGATTTCTTTAGTGTCTGACATAGTCTACAAAATGCCAAACACAATCTCTTTCATATTGTATATATTGAATGTACATACACTGTCACATTTTCTAAAATACATACCCGTGAAGGTCTGGGTTGGAATATTGGCCTTCAGTAACCCGTGCTTGTCGTAAGAGGCGACTAACCGGATCGGGTTGTCAGGCTCGCTGACTTGGTTGACACATGTCATCGGTTCCCAATTGCCCAGATCGATGCTCATACTGTTGATCGCTGGATTGTCTGGTCCAGACTCGATTGTTTACAGACCGCCGCCATATAGCTGGACATGTGTCACCCAAGTCAGTGAACCTGACAACCCAATTCTGCGTGCCACCTCTTACGACAAGGATGGGTTGCTGAAGACCAATTCTAACCCGGATCTTCAGGGGTTTGAAGGAAAACATGTGCAGTTACGAAAGACGTCGTGGCATGTGTGAAATGTAAACAATGACAAACCCTATTGTCAATCCCGATATATACGTTGATATGTCGTGTGAACACGATGCTGGTCACAAAATCAACTTTGCCAGAGCCTTCGTCAACCGTGCTTTCTTAATTTTCTTTCTATTTGAACTTTTGTTTGAAGTTCGATCTCGCAAGTCGTCTCTTACGACAGAGACCAATTTTAACCCGGATCTTCACTGGTCACAGAGCATTTGAGGACACAACCTTCACGAGGACAATGCAGAGAACAAAGAATATGTCTACATGACGTAAAAACATTCTCATTTTCTAAAGCACAGAAATGACATCATGTTGTGCACCATTTCCGTCACTGTGTCCACCGCTGGGTGGAAATCCTGGGATGGTTTAGCCATAGTCAAGTCCCAGAAATCTAAATAAACAATCTGGTGTTGCAGTGAAGCAAATGCCTCATGCCAAATATGTGTGTACAGAAGACCCCAGTAAGATAACATACCATGCATAGGTCTAAAAAATACATGTGGGCCACGAACTGCAAGTGTAACATTAGGAGCGCGCGCCAAGAGGTTCTTTACTGAAGGAACAAGTCCCTGAACATGTCGCCTGAACACATCCGGGTGGACAAGCGTGAAATGAACATACATATACAACACTACGATGTCCTTGGTTGTGTTCGGGAGACGGTCCATCATGACCTGTTGTCCCTGGTTTGTTGACCTGTTATAGCGTCGACTTCCATGATAGAATGGTTCTTCGTGAGCCTGCCAGGAAATTGAAAAATTGTGTTTAACATCAGTGTCTGTAGTGGGCACATGCGCGTCGGTATGAGAAGGAAAGCGTAAAATTGAATGAAGAATCTCTTTAAACTGATTACTTGTTGAGTCCCCATGAAGCCAGAGCGTCTTTCCTCTCAAGCATTGTCTGTAAGCATCAATGGTGCGGGGGAGAGTGTCCGTACACAACAGGGAATGCCACTTATTCTTGAGAAAGAAGCCATTTGGCGACTCTTGTTGCCATGTTATCACCGATGGCAGCTTGCTGCAGGGAGTCCTAGGAGCCGTCAGTTCCATATCATTAGAAGCTGTTAAAAGAAATAGCGTCTCGGGAAGAATTAAAAATTATTATACATACATATATATTTGTGAGTCTAATTTTGGTAATCAGAAGGATATACCCACCACGAAAGTGACGTAAGAGCTATTACCCATGGCGAGATTTGTATTTCTGTGAGCAATGTTTGGCGTGCAATATCTGTGTACCTTACAGTGGCATAAAACTACACTCAGTAAATCATTTTGGCAGCTTGACTCTCCTGAGAGTTTCTGGGGCATCTGTCCTGCCCCACAACGAAGCACATGTGATACATAAGGTCTCACATTAGCAAGTGAGGTTGTTCAAAATTGCCTCTATTCACCCAGCAGAAAATGGGCAGGATAAAGTCATGTGACCATAACCCTCTAGCGCCTAACAGGCAGGTTGGGTTATTTATTAATAAAAATACACAGATTGTTTGATCACTTCGAGCATGCAAATGGATTGTTATTATTATAATTATTATTTATACGCTGAATTGCCACCTAGGGGTTAACGAGTCGACTTGTAACGCTGAAGACACTGTCCTTCCTGTCAACACTGTGAATGGGCGATTTGTCAAGTGACACTCGCGGTGGGCGATTTGTTCCGTAGTGACACATTGCATCTTTTGTGTCACCACTATGGGTGAATGTGAACGGTATACAAAACGAAACGCGTACTTACCTCCTTTGACAGACACATTCATTGAACTCTGTAAAATATCGTTTTGGGGATTCGCCACGGATCTGCGATATAAACAAAACATATTGAATAACTTGATTAAAATTACTTTGAGTAAAAGAGGCTTTTCCTCTCATATTACCCGAACAAAACTTTTACAGCGACTGTAACCGAAAGCTTTCTGTGGCCACTTATCTATATCGTTATTTATTACTGTTACATTTTCGAAGGTTCGAGATGATTCTCGTTCCTTCGACAATGTCTTGTTATTTCGATCGTTTTCTTGTTATTTCGTTTTTCATTCAAAAACACGAAACGTTGTAGCCTTTCACCTAACCATCATACCAAGTTATTTGTAAACCTGATCGTCAGGTAACCAATAGTTTTCGGAACAACAGGTTAAAAATACATACAAACCAAGGATGCTCCTCTCTGTGGTATTGAGTGGAGCGTAAATTCCGTTTGCACTATATGAATGCGACCATGTATTACACGTCAACTGTTTGATTTTTGACTTCCTGCAGTAATAGGTGTATCCATCGTTCTCATTCGTGAAATTACACAATTCGTTCTTTAAGGATTTTTCTTGCCTAACTGAGCACTGTGTTGCATCTGTGAGATTGTTTGCTCGATATTCAGCAAAGAGTGTCCAGAGACTGCAATGCTTTTGGTATATCATGTAGTTGAGAACGATTTCTTCCCTTCTCGTACCAATAAATGCCTTAATTGTTGCTCTTCCTGGCCATGCAGCTTTAAGCAAAGCAGTATAACTTCCATTATTGAGGTCCGCCACCCGACCGGAAATGGAAGCTGCTCTCTCTGGTTTCTCCATCCAAACTCTCAAGAAATCGCCTCCAGTCCTCTTGCGGTTACCATTCATATCATACAGATCTATTTGCACTTCAACCTGATCTCCTAAATTGTAGACGTTGTGGGCGCGTTTGAGATATATGCGTGATTTGTTCGGATGAGCACACAAGGAAGGCACAAAGATTGTTCCATAACGCATAGCCTCCTCTGTGAGATAGGTCACTCCTCTTGCAGGAAGGTAGACACTGAAACAGTACAAATTACTTACTATTGGATCAGTCATGGTGTAAGTTCAAGACATGCCAGACCAATAGATTTAGAAACATATATTGTACATACAAAACAGCAATGCCAGAGAATTATATGACTACATTTTCTGTCAAGATAGAATATATTTGGCGTAAAAGTCAAATTAGTGATGAAAAATATGTGAATGGAGATCTTTTCTTTATAGACAGTAGTTTCCATTTTGGTGCTTCTTGTTTGATGACGAGATTTCAGAATGCTCCCCTCGCAAAAATTGATTCAGTCATTTAATTCTCTTTAGGCAGATGCAAGCAAGTTTCAGGAAGACATTACCTGAAATGTAACTGAAATATGCTTGCTGGAAATGTCTGTTACTCCGACCTCTTGCGATAATTGAGCAAATACACATTACTATCAGTGGATCATTTGTCAAGTTTGTGATATGCAAAACACAAAACGTATCAGGAGCATACGTTTATGAATATCGTGACTAAAACAAGTTCTAAATTCATAATGCATACATATAATATATAAAACCCTGTCAACGAAGGACAGTAAAATCACTCCAGTATCACAAAATGAGTTAAAACTAGCTAGCATTTATCTTAAAAAGTAGAAAACTAATTTTGGACAGTACAATGTAAAAATGGGCTATTGATGCCAACAACTGAATGTAGATCTCCATGCTAGGGACCATGGAGACTTATAGTACTTTTGCTACCTGCATGGACCCTAGCTGGATTTATATCATCCCTTCAGCCGCTGGAGATTGTAGTCGAATTTAGCCATAAATTAAAATCACAAAAATACAACGTAAGAATCTGGTAAGTTGAAATTTACTTTAAATGTTTCGGGACTTACGTATCTTCACATAGTGATGATAGCTGTTGCTTGCGACGAGGCAAGCGCATCCTGACCCACCGTTGTCATAGGTCACAAAAAGATGCAAATGAACTGTCCACCCATAGCATGACTGATTTTAGTACTCAGAATATGTTTTATCAATGTGCCTCAGTCCTTACGCGCATTCCGGTTGCTTTGTTGTATTGTTTGTTTGTTGTTTTACGCCGCACTCCGCAATATTACAGCTATATGGCGGTGGTCTATAAATAATCAAGTCTGGACCAGACAATCCAATAATCAACATCATAAACATCGATCTACGCATTTGAGACACGATGACATGTGTCAACCAAGTCAGCGAGCCTGACCACCCGATCCCGTTTAGACAAGCATGGGGTGCTGAAGACCAATTCTCACACGGATTTTCACGCGCTTGAAGGAAAGCATTATGTAAGCGAAAGACGTCTTGGCATGTGTGAAATATAAACAATGACACACCCCATTTTCAACCCCGTAAAAAGAGTTGATATTTCATGTCAGCTCGCTATTGGTCACAAAATTAACTTGCCAGAGCCACCGTGCTTTCTAAAATATACTTCAATTTGAACTTTTGTTAGAAGTTAAAATACGCTATATGTGAGTGAGTGAGTTTAGTTTTACGCGGCAATGTGTAGTGCATTTAATTTAAAATACTTTACCATGTTGGTGAATGTCACAAGCCTTGCGGTGATTTTCTTGGTAGATTGATTCTCCGTTATACGAATGCTGTCAGGTATGATCTAATTAATACACCTAAGTAAAATTCCAATTTCTTTAACCTCTCAAATAGTGATAGGGTTTCTATAGGAGGAGAGAGAGAGAGAGAGAGAGAGAGAGAGAGAGAGAGAGAGAGAGAGAGAGAGAGAGAGAGAGAGAGAGAGAGAGAGAGAGAGAGAGAGAGAATTAGTTCTAAACATACAATGCGCCATTCATAACACTGCCATTCATAACACTGTACATACATGTACACTGTACTTAGACTGCGCACTGACACACATTTCACTATACACAATTTGTACACAAATATAAACTATGTACATTAAAAGCAAGTGACATTGGAAGTAAACATTTTTCTTCTTAAAAACATTTTTAGGATTAGTTTAGCTATATTAATATCTATATTCTCCATTAAATAGATTAATATGCCATTGGGATACAAATGATAAAATTCAGGCACTTCTTTGGATAACTGAGAGAGAAGTTCATACTTAATGTCACTGTAGAACGGACAACATGTGACAAACTGTTTCTCGTCCTCTACACACCTGAGTGTTGCATAGTTTGCAGTGACGTTCATCCACTGGGATTGGAGGGGAGCTAAATCATGCAATGATACTTACTGTGATAGGTTTAATATATTCCATTTGAAATGTAGATACACAAATAGTGTAGCCACACTAAAACAAGCAATGACAACAAATTGTTTCTTCATGACAGAACAACTTTTTCGTTTCCACTCCTCTGCGGCTTTGGACCAACAAAGACAGGCAATCGAACCGATCTCAGTTATCAGTTGTATATTGACGCGTTTAAGCGAATGTTCACAGCGTTCTACCTGAACTCTGTGTTCTCAGTACAGATACCTAAATCTGGGCAAATCTGTTTTGCACAATCTCAAGATGTTTTTTTTTTTTTCAGTCTGTCCTTGCAGTTGCGCCATTTTGGCAACGAATGTAGGCACTGGGTGAAACTTTTCTGCTCAGAATACGTCGTTATTTATATGTGTGTGGTATTTATATGTGTGTGGTATTTATATGTGTGTGGTATTTAAATGAGTGTGGTATTTATATGTGTGTGGCATTTATATGTGTGTGGTATTTAAATGTGTGTGGTATTTAAATGTGTGTGGTATTTAAATGTGTGTGGTATTTAAATGTGTGTGGTAGTGTGTGGTATTTATATGTGTGTGGTATTTATATGTGTGTGGTATTTATATGTGTGTGGTATTTATATGTGTGTGGTATTTAAATGTGTGGTATTTAAATGTGTGTGGTATTTATATGTGTGTGGTATTTATATGTGTGTGGTATTTAATATGTGTGTGGTATTTAAATGTGTGTGGTATTTAAATGTGTGTGGTATTTATATGTGTGTGGTATTTATATGTGTGTGGTATTTAAATATGTGGTATTTAAATGTGTGTGGTATTTAAATGTGTGTGGTATTTATATGTGTGTGGTATTTATATGTGTGTGGTATTTAAATGTGTGTGGTATTTATATGTGTGTGGTATTTATATGTGTGTGGTATTTATATGTGTGTGGTATATAAATATGTGGTATTTAAATGTGTGTGGTATTTATATGTGTGACGTATTTATATGTGTGTGGTATTTATATGTGTGTGGTATCTAAACGTGTGTGGTATTTATGTGTGTGTGGTATTTATATGTGTGTGGTATTTATGTGTGTGTGGTATCTAAATGTGTGTGGTATTTATGTGTGTGTGGTATTTATGTGTGTGTGGTATATAAATGTGTGTGGTATCTATATGTGTGTGGTATCTAAATGTGTGTGGTATTTATATGTGTGTGGTATTTATATGTGTGTGTGTGGTATTTATGTGTGTGTAGTATATAAATGTATGTCGTACTAGTATTTAAATATGTGTGGTATTTCAATGTGTGTGGTATGTGGCATATATATGTGTGTGGTCTTTACATGTGTGTGGTATTTAAATGAGTGGTATTTAAATGTATGTGGTATTTATATGTAATGGTATTTATATGCGTGTCGTATTTATACATGTACGTCAATCACGGGTTGCTGAAGATCAATTCTAACCCGGATCTTCAGGAGTGACTACTATTATAATGAGTGAGTGAGTTAAAATCGAACGACACATCGACAATATATTTCAGCCATATAGTGACGAGAAATGATAGGTTAAATAGGCGAAATATCGGTCAGGACGGAGTAAAATATCAACAAGACATCAAAACTAACCATTTCAAGTATTCAAATATGCCAATGAACACAAAAATCAAGCATAACCTACGATACTACGGATTATGTGTGTCAGGTTGTCACGACTGGATAGTTAAGGCAATGTCACACTGAGTACTCGAAACATCCACACCCGGTGTCATTAATATCCACTATTATGAGAAGCTTTTCTATAGCATTACCATGTGTAAGATTGTCGCCTAGCTACATTTCAAACAGTGACAATTCTCCTTTGTCAAGGCTAATGGTGGTCAAATATTAAAGGGTGAATACCTTCCGGGTTTCAAAAGGTTATGATTGAAAGCAGACAATGATGTCTTTTAGTTATATGTGAATAGCCCGACAATAATTACAAACACACTGAAGCACCGGGTTACAGCGACGATACAGAATAAGTCTAAATTGACATTTAAGGTCTCTCCAATGACGGACAAGCTGAATAAGACCCGAATAGATCCGAACTATGGCTGTTGGGTCCTGGCGACTATATACCTGCAGTAGCAGCAATCCTTAACATCGAGGTTTGTTTCTCTCCGTTACTGTCTTTCAACAGTCAACAATCGCCTGCTTATATACGAACAGGGGCGGTTGGATAACCTAGTGGTTGAAGCATTCGTTCGTCAAGACACTGGTTCGATTCCCCACATGGGTAAGATGTGTGAAGCCAATTTTTGGTTTCCCGTGGGGTGATATTGCTGGAATATTGCTGACTCACTCATCACTATATACGAACAACCCTCTAGAGCACTCTGTGTCACAGACATTTTAAGTTCAGCTTTTCAATTCCATTCATTTCATTCGTCTGTGGGCGGTGGGGTAGCCTAGTGGTTAAAGCGTTGGCTCGTCACGCCGAAGACCCGGGTTCGAATCCCCACATGGGTACAATGTGTGAAGCCCATTTTTGGTGTCCCCCACCGTGATGTTGCTGGAATATTGCTAAAAGCGGCGTAAAACCAAACTCAGTCAGTCATTCGTCTGTCCGCGCGAGGCCGATTGACACGCTTGATACGTTATAGAAGTGAACCACACAAATACATCTCCCAGTGATGTTGTCTTTATTACAACTCCATCAGTGAGTTTTGCAACACGTGGCGTAGGCTGTGACCCCCGTCTCTCCGTTCAGTCTCTCGGCTCCATTATACGCCACGCACTCGTCAGGGCTAGAGAAAGACGCTGTTTGAACATAAATAACTGATTTTATTATGGCCGTGAAAGAAAGTTGAATAATAACCATTGTGGAACAAACAGATGTTTCACTCACTGTTTACTGTGGGAGCCTAATGGTTAAAGCGTTCGCTCGTCACACTGGGTTCGATTCCCAACATGGGTACACATTCACCCCACCAACCGACCCGCTAGGCTAACCGCTATCATTAACTCCTCCACAAGACCACACACTCAATGAGGCGGTGGGATAGCAAGGTGGTAAAGGCATAAGGCCCGGGTTCGATGCCCCACATGGGTACAATGTGTGAAGCCCAATTCTGATGTCCCCCACCGTAATATTGCTGAAATATTGCTAAAAGCGGCGCAAAACCATACACTCACTCACACACCCAAAATAGGCCTCCCTAGGTCAAACACTCACGCTAAATGCTAAACTCGTTCACACACACTTTCAGTAACGCCTTCCTTTGGCTAACCACTTTCATTAACTCCTCGACAAGGTCACACCCTCAAAATAGGTCTCCCTGGGTCCTTAACTCCTTCACACACTCTCAGTAACTCCTTCCCTAGAACCCGTGAAGGTCCGGGTTAGAATGAACCTTCAGTAACCCATGCTTGTCGTAAGAAGCGACTAACGGGATCGGGTGGTCAGGGCCTAGATTTTCGAAGCTCTCTTAGCGCTAAGATAAGTTAATGTTAATGTATGGCACTTACGACTATCTAAGCGCTAAGAGAGCTTCGAAAATCTAGGCCCAGGTTCGCTGGCTTGGTTGACACATTTCATCGGTCCCCAATTGTGCAGATCGATGCTCATGCTGTTGATCACTGGATAGTCTGGTACAGACTCGATTATTTACAGACCATCGCCATATATTGCTGGAATATTGCTGAGTGTGGCGTAAAACTAAACTCACTCACTCACTTCCCAAGGCTAACCACGCTTATGAGCACTCAATGTCACCCACGAAGTAACTCCTCCAAGTCAAACCCATAAACTCTTCTACTCGTTCGCCCAATAAAAATAACTCCTCCAACAAATCATCCATTCACATTTTACTCCTCCAGCAGGTAACCAACTCAAGTTTGCTGCCCCACACAGTCACCCATTCACATTACCGTAGTCACTCGGTGGGAATCTCCGTCACCTTCCACCATTAACACACCTTTAATAAACGCTCCTCCTACTTTGCCATCCTCAGAAAATCCTGAGCAGCCCATGATCTCCCATCCCGAGTCACATGAAACACCGGCCTCGTCCCCTAATTTGTTGCCCGTGGGTTTGGACGTCTTCACTTGACAGGTGAGATTAGGGGTTGAACAGCACATGGCATAGGACGTTACACCTGGAATAAGACAAGGAATGGGGTGAGTACTGGGGATCAAAATGACTACATGTAGGTTAATTAATTAATGGTTGTGTAAATAAAAGTAGTTATGACAAAAACATCATATTGCGTGAATTGTAATTATCCGCTTACGATGAATATACAGGAAACTGTCCTCATCTTACCGCCATTGTTTTCAGAATTCTGTGCAAAACACGAATTGGCAGAAGGAAACGCTCCATCGGTGAGCTCGTTGCTGTTGCGAGCCGTACAACCTGGTAAGTTAAACACGATAAAGTGGTTACAAAGAGGTCCTGATTATACCAGTATTAAATGAATACATTTTGCACACGATACAGAAATGACCACAGGTCAACTCCTTCTCACCTGTAGCGAACATGCTGTTGAGACACCGGGTCTCCAGCCGCTGGTCCAGCACTGCTTGTGAGACCCCTGACTTCCGGTAGTCACACTTCAGGCCTGTCAGTTTACAACATCTCGCTATCGCCTGATCAGCTGTAACAAGAGATGATTCCTGCATCTCATACTGTTACAGGTAACCCTTGCACGTCTGCTCTGGGATGTAACATATCCAATAGAAACTGTAACACTAGAACATGCTGCACGCATCTCACACATGTAACACAAGAACAGGTCCTCTGGGACCCAACACAGAAGCACAAGCAGCGTTCGAAATTCGGCAGTTTCAAATATCCGCAGGCCCTTGCGGCCTTCAGTACATTATCTGTCTTTGTTTTACAACTGGAATCTTTCCCTTGTGTTTTTCCTTTATTAACGTTCGGGAATCATCTATGATCCATCATGTTACGATAACTTACGTAGTTGGCCTCGACAGGCAGTTTCGCAGGAATTCTCCAAGAAATCCCGGGAATTTCTACAGAATGCTAGGTGATTTTCTGAGGAATAGCGCTTGACTTTGAATTATTTTTCTCGCACAAGTTTAAAGAGTGATATAACTTTCTCTTGCTATTACTGCATGCGATCGTAAAATATCACACTATTGAAAACTTTCAACATTTTGTGGCGATATCTGGTTTCGAACTTGCAACCCTTGCCTACAAGCTTGCGGATTTATCCACTGGGCTACGAAGATCGCTGTGAAGAACGTCATTGTTTGTCAGTATGGACAATGTGTTCGTCACAAGACGGGTGGTGCAGCGCACGTGCAGGACACGGGTAGTGCGTGCAGAGCACATGCATTTGGCATGCAAGGCAAGGTGTCGGCTTCAAGTCGCATCCCAGTTGATTTCAACAGTAAATACCAAATATTAAAATTGTATCTAAAGTATATCTTCGGTCGGTTCATAGGTTTAATCAAAACCTCCTTCTCGGTTTTGTTTGAAAAACTAAATCCCCAATTTCCCTCTGCCGCGGGCTCACTTTTTCAAACAAAACCGAGGAGGAGGCTTTGATCTTTCACATCACATGTTACCCAATGACATTTCCTCCCGCATCTCACTCGACGGAATCAGAAGCAATAATTCCCTTGTACCATGCTCTGTAACTCACGTGCAGTTGCATGACTCCCTTCATATGTCTGACAAAAGGGGGTCCCATTCTTGATGTAAACGGCCTCCCCATCTCGGGTATAACGATTATCCTGCGATGCAATAAACAATGGAGACAATGGAATCTCTTGATCAAACTGACAACAGCTGGAGTATTTTCTATTCGATGTTGTATCCATACCCGGGAAGATTCGGGCAAGAATTGATCTCCAGCAACCCAGGCTTTTCATAAAAGGTGACTAACAGGATTGCGTAGATCGATGCTCATGCTGTTGATCACTGGATTGTCTGGTCCAGACTCGATTATTTACAGACCGTCGGCATATAGCTGGAATATTGCTCAGTGCGGCCTTAAACAACCAACCAACCAACCAATTAACGATGTTTTCTCAGAAAAATCAAATTGAAAGTGTGAATGATTAAATGAATGGTGTTTTGCTGGAAGAAGAGGTAGATTGTAGGTATTAACGAGGGATAGACGTTCACAGCCAGTGATTAGGCTGTAGGGCTGGATATTGCCCTGATTCCCATATTGCAATATATTGCAATAATTCAAGAGATATTGCAATACATATTGTGATATATTGACTGGAAGGTTTCTGTCCAAGTGTGTACATCATATATTCATAATAGCTCTCTGTGTGCGACATCATCTTCTTAGTTGCTGTTACACCATATGTTCAGGCTTCCTGTCCCCACTGTGTAAGGGTGTATGCCAGTGGTGTACAGAAAATGATATAGAGCCTAAATGTGGAATGTTTCATTGAAGCAACTGGATTGCAACAAAGTTTTGTGAACATAATGATAAAGGTAATACTATAACATGATTTTCATGGTCAGCGTTGTTTTTTTCAACAGAATGCACTTCAATGTATGTAATTATTGTTACTGTTTGTCAGTGATTCATTCAGATTCAACTCCAATATAAACATGTGTTAACATGAACTGTTGTAAAATGAAACAAAAACATGATTTAGGTGAACTACTTGACTTTAAAATCCGATGTGACCTCCAATAACTAAGATCCTTCACTAGAATGTCATTATACAGTCCTACAAAATTTATGAGACTTTGGCCTTTATCATAAATTGATAACATATGTCCCATTTTGAAACAAAACAAAAATAACAAAATAATGTGAATTGTGAAATGGTCACTCAGACCCAGTAGCTCTACTTATAAGTCCAAATAAAAGATTGGTCAAATTTTTAAGGGCAATTAGAAGTGGAATGCATAAGAAAATCAAGATTTATGGATGACAACTTTTTTATTGTGGATATTCATGACCTGATGAAGGAGCAAGCATACACTCCGAAACGTTGTGTCAGTTGACATGCATAAATCTTGCTTTTCGTAAAAGATTGGTCCATTTGAGGCCACTTAATTCCTCCAAAACGTCAAATATGAAACCATTCAAACCCAAAACCTTAAAGCATTTGGTAGAATATTTGGCACTTTTGCAGCCACTTATAAAGACACTTCCACTTGTAAAATGTTACATGAAACAGAAAAGAAAGAAAAGCAAATCTGGCACTTTTAGAGCTCATTTTGTTGCTATGGAAATGAAGGGCAGATAATTCGAAGGGAGCTTACTCTGGATGACCCAATATATTGCAGAATCTGAACCATATCGCGATAATCGTATCGCGAGATACTTAACTGGTATATGCCGGTTTACCGGTAATATTGCACAGGCCTATTAGGCTGTATGGGCGAAACGAATTTGAACGTCTTCAACAAATTCAGCTGGTTGTATGGACAAGCGCGTGAATCTTCATCTTAGTTAGCCTACCAGTCTCTGTGATAAGGATGGAATACCCCGGACAAGCAGCCATCCATGGTACATTTACCAGTTAGTTTTTGGATTATTTTCAGGAATGCATTGTTGCAGTGGCTAACCTATATTTTCCCCGAGCATCCGGTCAGGACGTAACCTGTAGGACAATCAACCTCCGTCATCTTGTCATTCCCAACTTGAGAGAAGCCCGAGAAAGCCGAGACACAGAGTCAGCTTACTGGAGGTGCCCGAGGCCATTTGTCCCATTGACTGTTCGTTGATGTGTGCCACGGGATGGGAAACGGCGCGGCGGTAGTCTGTGATTTATATTAAAGAAATCTTAAATGACAGAAAATAATCACCCTCAATTATCCAACAGTACAGTTTCCCATGGGTATGAGGCAAAAGTGCGCTGAAAATAATATACTAACGGAAAAAGTAACTGTGCAAAACATAAAATAACATAAAAAAGTGCTTTGAAAGATTAAAAAAACAACACTAAATAAACATGTAGCAAAACACTTTGCACACAATTTGATGTCACGTATCGCGCGTGGCACGCGCACTTTGTGCACAAGGAACTTACTCACATTTTGAATGTGTTTTGACACCTGAAGTTCACACACCTAATATTGAAAATTGAACAACGGTTGATTATTCTCTAGCCTCTAAATTTTGTGGAAAACACATTAATTTCAACCAATCTTGTCGCACTTCTGCAAGATAATACCCGTCCACGTCTGTTCGCGTCTGTCCCCTATCGAGCAGGCTTGGGATGACATTGAGAGACGTTTACGTTAAATACCGAATCAGTCATTGACATTATCTGAGCTGGGACAAAGCGTTGGTTCAGAGATAGGACAACATTCTCCAAGCTTTCTTCAATGGCTTAGTGTCGTCTATGCGTCGTCGTTGTCAAGCCTGTATCAACGCCACACACGAGACTAAATTTGTGACCTGACTTTTGACACCACATCTCTTCAAGGGAGCGTCACGAAGCCTAGTGATAAATCATACAGATTTCGATATTATCCTGTCAGCAGTTGACAGAGATTAAAGAAAACACCGCAAATCATGTTATTATCTCTTTGCACTAAAAAGTGGCTTGACATCACGCAATGCACAGTTAGTTTGTTCCAGTAGTATATCAACAGATTAGTAAAAACGTAAGGTTGCATAGGACGTAAACAAACTCACGGTTGACGTTGACACCTCCCACCATAGACAGGCAGAAGGGCAGGGTAAGCGCTGCTAGACGACCGCACCTCCACATTATACGGATCTGTGACTGGGTACTGACTGACTCACTGTTGGTCAGAATATATATAGTCACAAGGTCAGGATGACAAAAGCAGTAGTATCTGATAATAATGTTTAATAATTTGTGAATCATGAATGCACAATACAAGAGATGATCACGTGAATCATGAATGCACAATACAAGAGATGATCCTTGATACAAGACCAAGGTGAGATAATTAGTCCAATCTGATAATGTTACATAATTTCTTTTCCTGCAGTAACGTGAATCAAGAATGTGTACAATACGAGAAGGAACAAGCTCCTTTGGATCTCGGCTGACAACATAAAACTTCCTTTAACAGGCGCTTTAAATTCAATCGTTTGTTTCTAGAATCAACACCAATGTTACTGAAAAGTAGGTTTAGCATTTCCACAATGAAGCCGTGTTTAGTGATCCATTCATACAGTTTTCACTACTTTTTTGCCTTTCACGCGGAGTGGAATCTGTTTCGGTTCACTGCTATCTTGTGTTGCGTCAAACAAAGTTGGAGGGGCGTATGCACATACTTCGAGTTATCCGAGGTTCAGCACGACCCAAAGTGATGGCTGAATACGTCATAGGGAGGGATCAAGCATTTACTTCGAGACAGCCATACCTTCGACACATCAGGGCAGTGATTGTATTTCCATGTCGTACCGTCTTCATAGGTGTATTACAAACTACAGGAGTCATATAATTGATGCAGTGGGCCAAGCACGACTAAAGTAAATACTAGTGTACCACGGACAGGTCCCTCAACAAAAGCATTTCTGTACCTTGTGTCCAAGAGCGTTCGTCGGGGTACTCTCGGATGGTAGTTCAGGATGGTGGACAAGAGATGGAGGACAAAAGCAGACGTAGAAAGGTGTTGATTGGCATTTACAGATATCATTAAGAATTAAGGGTCCTGCCCGGAGGGGTGGGGGGTTAATGAAAAGAGTGATTGCTGAATACACTAAACAGAAAAAGGGTATAGAATTTCGGTGCACTTTGTAAATTACATTCGTGTATATTGAAACAATTACATTGTTTGAATATATGAAGTTTTACAGAAACTTATTGAAATGGTTTACTCTATGACACTTGCAACAAACTCCTTTAACGCAGTACTTTGTCTTCTCTATCGATATTGAATGCTCCTACTTACATTATGCACCGTAAGATGTTTTGGGTTTTTTGAAGCATCTTTCTATGGATGTATAAAAACATATGCTCTTCAAACTACTAACGAGTTTTGTGAATAAACATGCCTGTATTGAATACAACATTACCTCGTAACGAAATTACACTTTTGACTATGTACCCCAACTGTAAAACAGAAAGTGCATATCTCTAATCACCTTAATAAGGAATATGTACTTTCCAGCTTTTCTATGCCCTTGACCCTGCTTCTAAAGGTGTACGCTAAAATTAGGCCTCCATCTGAGACAATTCTGTATGTGCAGAAACTGTCAATGAGTGTTAAAATAGACTACACCTGGTGATAGCTTAAACAGTCTCATGGCGATGCACTTTCGTCCAAATCGAGGCATGTCAGTCAGCCCAGAATTTAACACATGCTATATTTCTGGTTACACCATCCCAGTAAAGTTCAGATTCTAATACTTTTATTAGGTTGAGTCCACAATAATGGAAAACTGGTAATTTTGACCACTTTCTAAAATTATGTTTCAGATTTATTTATTTCCAGACAGAAATCTGTATAACGAACCCACCCTACCAAATCGAAACACAGATGATTTAGTCTTCTCTATCAATTTTGAACGTTTCTACCCACCTTCTGCATCGTAAGAATATTTTTCATAAAGACAGCCACTAAGCACCTATGAAGAGATACATATATCTGAACATATGCTCATCAGACTAGTAACATCCTTTTTTTTGTGAACAAACATGCCAGATAACTGTATTGAATACAACTTGACTATGTACTAGAGGTGTAAAACAGAAAGTGTGTGCAAAGACTGCTGTGATCAGTACATATAGTCGCAATTGTACTGCTTGGTTATTTTAAAGATTAAATATTCCAGTATTCCATATATATCACAATTCTGAATGTATGAATGAAGGGTGAAGAATATTTTAAATATTCTTTCATGTTTCTACAAGTAATCATATGGCAAGCAGATTTCTGGAATAAAGTGATGTGGTTGGGTTTTTTATTTTCATGAATTAAAGGTGTGAGTTTTGACCCACGTTTTAACATAATGTCTCGCGAAATCTCAAACTTAGCTCCTGGCCAATTAAATCTAAACTAACACTTGGTCACATCCTCCCGACATAGTCAAGTTTCCATCGAAATATTTCTAACCAAAGGACTGAAAACAAGATTCAATTTGTTTGAAAACAATGATTAATTGTGTGACACCAATTGACCTTGAACTTTTATAGGGGTCATCAATTTATTGATTCATTCATGACATCAAGATGGACCTCGTGGATAAGATTTCCTCAAATCCCCATTATTGATTCTTATATGGTGTTCCAAGTACTCTACCGAGTGTTGGCCTTCAATGCTAAATTTTAGATGTCAGAAATAGTTTCCATCTGGTCTTTGGATGAAAACCAGACACACAGTCTTTGACTTCTGTAGTAAGCACTGTTTGAGCCAATTCTGAGCCAACTCAAATAAAGTATACTCTGACATATACAGACAAAATATAAGATAAAACTCCAAATGTTGAATATGTTTATTTGTTATTATGATGATACCATGTACAAATATACATCCATTCTGTCAGGCAGAAGCTGTCGATGGAGAAGGCTACACTAAACACACCGGTTCCAGCATCCAATTCCATCTGACTACTACACTGTACTGCAACCACAATACAGATCAGCTGCATTAACCAGATACTGGAAATCATGAAATTAATGCAAACGACGCAAGAGTCAACTGCTTATATTAATGAAGGTGTATTTACTTATTATATTGCCCCAAGCAGAATTACTCATATAAACATAGCATATTTTAAGAATTTGTTTGTTTAACGCCGCACTTAGCAATATTCCACTTATATATGGCGACGGTCTGTAAATAATCGAGTCTGGACCAGGCAATCCAGTGATCAAGCACAGATTTACCTATTTGGTATACGATGACATTTGTCAACCAAGTCAGTAAGCCTGACCACCCGATCCCATTACTCACACTTTACGACAAGCATGGGTTGATGAAGAACATTTGTAACCAGGATCTTTAAGGATTCACTATCCAAGGAAAAATAATATTACTGTATATATCAAGCAATGAAAACAGGAATCCATATCCAAACCAATCTCAGGCAACTTAACTATAACTCATTCAGGAATACTAACCTGCTTTCTTTGCAGGAATATTTCTTTTCTTTATCGCTTTCCTCTTATATCTGATATATCTGTTACAAGGTATTTAAATCCATTACGCTCAAAATTGTAACGCTGACGTAGTAGTAGAAGGGGTTTTGCCGCAGATGCGGCTTAGAGGCTTATTTTTATGAAATAAGTTCCCCAGTCCCCCTTAAAAACGGCGATGGTTCAGCGAGAGACATCCTTCGATGTGCCGCCAGCCTAGACCCAAAGTTCCGAAAACCGACTGATCGGGAGTCCCGGTGGTGTGATGGTAGAGCTTAGGACTTGTAATCCAGCGATGCGAGTTCAAGAAGGGGTATTGGTGGAAACTTTTGCAAGTTAAACAAGATAGGACCGCCGTTGCTATGTTAAACAAGATGGCCGTCCAACCTAGTAACGGCGGCCCTGCAGGACCGTTGTTGCTAAGCCAAACAAAGATGGCGGCCGAGCTTAGCAACGGGGTTTATACCGACCGACCCATTTAAATGTAGCCGTAATATTCCACGACGAATTTATGGAGTTGGTCTGCCATGAATTCCTCGAAGTGGATTAAGGAGTACACGACATCGCATTTTTGGGTTTCGAAGCTATAATCGACTTCGAAGCTATAATCGACTAACGTATCCATGAGGCGTTGTAACCGTTTGGTGCACACGAGACCTAAACTATCGTACAGGCAAGTTAATTTCTCTCGACTTATGA